CACTCGCTCGCTCATCAACCCAGGCGGCCCTCCTTCAATTCTCTCACCTCCCCCCCCCGTCGCCCTCCCATCCCGTTCATCCCGCCCATTCTCTTCCATCTCTCGTTGCATCGCATCGTCAAGGGCCGGCAGACCGTCGCCATCGCCATCGCGCTCGGGGGACAACCGCGGCCGCGCGCGTCTCATGGCCTTCCAGCGCTGAGAATTGCCAGGACTCCGCGGCAATTGGGACCTGCGCTGCCTCCGCCGGGCTTCGCATCCCAGGACCTGCTCAGCTCGCCGCCTCGCCTCACCGGCTCCCACGCAGACTTCTCGCGTCTGCCCCTGTGCCTCGCCGCAGACGCAATCCGACTCTTCGACGTGGACGGCCGTTCCTCGCCTTCCCGTTGACAACGCCCACGAGCGGCGCGACTTCGAACGGCCCGTTGACAACGCCTTTTTCGCAGCCCCGCCTCCAACGAGTGCCCCCCGTATGACCTCCTAGGCCAAAACGCTGTTGCTCTCGCCCGCCCGCCCGCCAGCGCCAACACCAACGCCCCCTCTCGGCCCCGACACGGCCTCCCTATCCAATCCGCGACGGCCTCCCCAAAATTCCTCGCCGCCGCCATGTCCGCGGAAATGTCAGAAGACGAAGCCGGGCCGCTGTCGGTCAGCGACTGGCAGCTTCCTGATGCCCCGTCGCCGGCTGACAGCATCAAGTCGGACACGGAAATCGACCCTTCGGATCCCAGCGCGCCGTCACAGCCCATCCAGAAGCGCCGTCGGGTGACGCGTGCCTGCGATGAGTGCCGCCGCAAGAAGATCAAGTGCGACGGCAAGCAGCCCTGCACGCACTGCTCCGTCTATAGTTATGGTAGGTCTAGACGCCCTCGATGCGCGACTTGTCGGTCGTTTCGCTCGCGCATCTCGTGGCGGATGCTAACATGCCGCTCCTCTCTCTCTAGAATGCACATACGACAAGCCCTCCAATCGCAGGAGAAATCCCGCACCGCAGTATATCGAGGCTCTCGAGAGCCGTCTTCAGCGCGCCGAGACGCTGCTGCGCAAGTTCATGCCCGATGTCGACCTCGCCGACCCGAATCTCGATCCCGCGATCCAGCAAGAGTTCCACAACCGCGAGCATGCTCGCGCAACGGCCGCCAAGATGCGGGCCGTGACCGGCGAACTGGATCCCAACGACGCGAAGCTCACGACCATGATTGACTCCATCGGCCAGCTGGACCTCGACGACAAGGGCGGCTGGGACTTTCACGGAACGTCGTCCGGTGCCGTGTTCCTGAGAAGGATGAAGGATCACTTCCGCGGCATGATGGGACCGGCGTCCAAGGCCCCCTTTCTGCCACGCCCTGAGCGGCCGGCGGGCTTGGTTGCCCTCGACGAACCGTCCCCAGGCGGCACGCCCTTTTCGACCATGTCACAATATCCGGATCTGCCACCCAAGGACGTGACTCGCAAACTCTGCTACTACTCGCTGAGTTGCGCCACATGTCTCGTCCGCATCATTCACGTCCCTTCGTTTTACGAACGGTTCGACCAAGTTTACGGCCGCCCGATAGAGAGCCTCAACCAAGAGGATACGCATTTCATGGGCCTGATATATGCCGTCATCGCGCTCGGCTGCATGTACGACACTCTGGACGACGCAAAGCCTGAGAGCGGGGCGTACAAGGTGGCCATCGACGAAGGGTAGGTGAAGTCGCGCTTCTCTAGAGGTAATTGTGCTGACCTTGTTCCAGACTCAAGTATTACAAGGCCGCCAGGGCCCTGCTGCAAGACCTCGCCGAGTGTCGCGATATAGTATCGTTGCAGGCGCTGCTCTTCATGATTCTCTTCCTACAGGCAACGTCCAACCTGAGCGCATGCTACGCTTTTGTGGGCGTCGCTCTGCGGTCTGCCCTGCGCATCGGCCTCCACCGGAACCTCCAGCATGAGAAGATTGGCGCCATTGAGCAAGAAGTCCGAAAGAGAGTGTTTTATGTGATCCGACAAATGGACATTTACGTCTCCACCATGCTCGGCTTCCCGCTGTTACTCAACATTGACGATGTCGATCAGCCCTATCCGAGCGAGATTGATGACGAATACATCACCAACTCGGGCATCATCCCTCCGCCTCCTGGGACGCCATCTTTCTTCGAAGCCTTCAACGCGCAGACCCGTCTGATGGAAGTCCTGGGCAAAATCACCAAATACGTCTACCCGTTGCACGGCCAGGGCCAACCGATGCTCAAGGGAGACAAGCCTGTGCCCACATACGTCATTAGCTACGCCCGCATCAAGGAGATTGAGACGGACCTTCAGGGGTGGTTTGAGAGGCTTCCCGAGATGTGGCGGCCGAGCCCCGACGGCCCCATTGAAGTCGTCCGGTAAGTCATCGACGTGCCATGAGTGTGTACTGTGGAGTTCACCAGCTGACCATCTTCCAGGGTCCGTCATCTGCTTCGATTTGCATACGCACATGTGCAGCTTGTGCTGTACCGGCCATTCCTTCACTACATTTCACCCCGCCTCATTCAGGCAAACAAGGTAGACGAGCTATCATACGCATGCGCCGCCGCCGCCATCAGCGTGTCGCGCAACATTGTCCACATTGGCCTCGAGATCCGGAAGCAGCGGGTGCTCAGCGGGCCGTATTGGTTCATGCTCTACACCGAATTCTTCGCCGTCATCTCACTCGTCTTCTACGTCCTGGAGAATCCGGACAAGCCCGGTTCGGCCGAAGTGCTGGCTGATGCTCGCGCGGGACGGCAGATGATTGCCGATCTGGCGGACAAGAGCCTGTCGGCCGACCGGGTAACGAAAGCCCTCAAGGTATGCAACGTTCGATATTTGTGCATTTGGACTTGACTGACGTGGAGCAGCCTCTCTTCGACCAGTTGCCGGAACGACTGGACCAGGTGCGCTCACGCCCGATACCGACGAAGAAGAGGTCGGCGGCAGCCGCCAAGTCTGGGTCCTCTGGTCAGCCCCAACGACCCAGCATCAACGCCGGCATGGTTCCGGGAGCGTCGGACTTTCTGCGGCATCGCACGAGCAGCTTTGCGGGCGTGCCTTACACGGCGTCAACGGCACGAGGCTCGGTCGACAGCATGGCTCAAGACCCGAGCTTCGAGTCGAGCTTCACGGCGAGCATGCACGACATTATCCCCATGGACCTGTCATCGCGAGCGACGCCGGACTCGACGAGTACCGGGAGTTCGAACCGGCACCAGTTCCAGACGCCGACGCTGGGCGCGCAGGGCTTGCACAACCCGGTGAACAAGCTGGACTCGCTCATGTTCCCGTCGGAGGACCCGTTTGCATACCCCAACCAGCCGATGATGGAGCTCGGGTTCCAGCCAAAGGCGGACGGGCCGTCGGTGACGATGGCGGCTCCGGGACCAGACCCGACGTTCTTCTTTGGCGGTGCGCTGGACGATGTCGGCGAGCAGCTCCTGGGCCAGCCGCCGCCGTACATGATGCAGCAGCAACAGCAGCAACAACAGCAGCAGCAGCAGCAGCATCAGATGGGGCTCGCGGGGAACGCGTTCAACCCGCACGCCATGCTCGCGATGCACGCGCCGCAGCACCAGCCGCAGCCGGTGGTGCAGCAACAGCAGCGGCCTCCGGTGCAGCACCACAGCGGGGGCGGCGGGTTCTTCTCGAGCTTCCGGCGGGCGCGGGCAGACCGACAGCAGGAGCGGCAGATCGAGCAAATGTTTACGCAGCAGGGCATGCAGCCCGACTGGGGGAGTTTCTTTGGTTCCGGACGGGGCGGATTTCAAGGGATGTGAACGGCCACATGACCACATGATACCCATCTTTATATTTCCCTTTGATGTCTTGACATTTATGACTTTTTGGGGGTGTTTGGTTCATTGGGCGGGAGGAGCCAGCCTGGGGTCTACTACGACATCTTTTGACATCATCTTTTTTCCTGGAGTTTTTTGTAACGCCACGGCTTGCGGGGACATACACATATACTAGGGGGGAGGGAGGGGTTTCTGGATATGCAAGAGTTGGACACGGAAGCGTGGGCGTGTGTACATGGGCTCGCGGGGGGCCGCGGCCCCGGCAAGGACGGCCGTGATGGATGCGGCGTCGGCGGTATGTAGCGTGTTGCATGCAAGGGTACATACTGGGCCTAATACAGCATACTGTGAAGGCGAGACGTGGTCACGTCGTTGGGCTCGTGAAGGCGTGTGGTGTCTCGGTGAGCGATGCGGGCACGACGGGCGCGCCGCTCAGTACATAGTACAGCGATGCACGTTTGTGTCGGCGTAACTACGCGCCAAGTTACGTCGAGCGAAGGTTACACGGCGGGACCCGTTTTGCCCTTTGGTTATGCTTAGTTGGGATGCACGGGAAACGGCCGCGTCAGGGTCCAGACGTGTCGTCATCTAGGGGTAGCCCGCGTTCGCTCGCTCGCCTGTCCAGAGGCGTCGTGCCTGGGTGTGTGGGTTGTCGGCATGTGGGAGGTGGGTGCTCTGCTCTGCTCGCAGCGGCGGCGGCTTATTTACAGTGCCCCTACCTGCCCGTGCGTGCCGGCCGGCCGGAGGAGCGACGGGGGAGGAAGAGGGCTGCTTACTGCTAATTTAGCCCCCGGTGCGGAGGGTGGTCGGGGATACCACGGGCGTGGGCATTTTGGCCACTTTTTTATTTTTATTTTGGGTCTCTCTCCTCCGGGGGGGGAGAGAAGCGCGAGGCGGTTTGGTTCATCGGGGCGCTTGGTGTGTGTGTGTGCGTGTGTGTCTCGGGAGTCGGAGTGCACAGGTCGGTGGTGGTCTCGGCGAGATGGGCCGCCCGGCGGGGGGAGATTTCCTTGGGGGGAGGGCCGTGGATTTTCTGCCGGCGTCGGTGCCGATGCTGGAGAGAGGGAGTGGAGGACGGCGGGCGCACTACGTACCGCGGAGTGCAAAGAGTGAGACGGTAGGTGGTTCGGCGGGCTTTGAGGGCGGGCTGGCTTGGGCTGGATTGCTGCTGGACTGGCTGGACTGGCTGGATGGCTGGCGGGCTGGCAGGTGTGCTTGCGTGGCAGGCACATTGGGTTTTCCACCAGGGCGGGATAGCGAGCCGGAAGGGCGGGTCTCGGAGCAGCATGCCGGGAGACGGGGGACGGATGAATGCGATTTTTTTGATTCCTAACGATGATGGGCATTTGGCGGAATGTACACACCACTGGTACTGCACGCCGGGGGAATTAAACAGTCCGTGGTGATGGGTTGTCCGAGGAGTTTTATTGGACTGTGAAACGGACGTTATTCCTCGGGGACGACGAGGCTTACGGTGCAAGTTTGCGCCATGTAGTGCCGTTGAATGGACGGACTCACGCGGAAGAGGAAGAAGGAAGGGGGCTTGGGAGCTGAACTTGCTGCAACAGGAATACTGCGAAGTGAAAGTGATGCGGCGTGGCAGCAAGGCGAGGAGAGGTGCTTGGGTAGTTGACTGAGTTTGTTGGGGCAGGAGAGATACGAGTACATAATAATATGGAGAGGAGATAGCTCAGGTGTTACGAAGGCTGCAGTTGGCATTGGTGATGAGACAGACGTGTTCGATGGAGTCGGCGAGTGTGAGCGACTGGCGCAAGTACATACAAGCATCGCAAAGCAGTGCCCAGGCAACGGCACTGCTGGCCCCGGCGAAACTCCACGGAATGTTTCCTCTTCGTCTTTGAGCCCGGGCTGCTCTTCGCCTGCTCTCACCATGGGCAGGTAATTGTACTTTTGCCTCACGTTTCCACTGATATGGCGAGGATATGTATGGCCTCTGGGAAACAGGTTGAAGGCCTGAGAACAGGTGCTCCAACATGTGCAGCGGCGAGTCTAACAAAACACTGGCTGAATTGCTTCAGGGCCCGGGGCCGGAAACCGGAGCGCGCTAATGCGCCAATGCTCCCCCGCGCCAGGGCGGTCGCCGCCTGCAGTCAGCCAGGAGCTGCAGCTGGCCTGCAGGCACCTACCGGAATAGGCAGTCTGTTTCTAATCGACGACGGCTTCTCCACTTGCGTCACCTTCTGAGCTTCATCGTCGCACAATCATCAACTCAAACTCGTCGCCACGACACTCACGTCGCACAGGCTTCTTGTACGTAACAGCAACGACCACCACCGGCAGTGGAGGAAGAGCTAGTTGTCGTCTCCTCACGCGACACGACGCAGGGTGTTGAACGCCCTTTCGGAACAAAAGGGTTACTTACTCCTCCCTCTGCCCGCAAAGTGTCATCACCACGCTCGTCATCGCAAGAGACCAACCACGCACATCATGGCCGCCGAGCTCGACTACGACCTCATCCTCGAGGATGAGTTTGACGCGCTGTAAGCACCGTCCCGCTCTGTAGCAGCGCAGACTCGGCTGACCCCATCCGCCTCGCCATCAGCTCCCTGGATGTGACGGGCGATGCCGCAGACAACACGTCCAGCAAGCCCGTCAAGTATCCCGGTGAGCCTCGCCGCCACTCACAAACACCAACCGCGCGCAACAAACGCCTGCTGACAGTCCAACGCCACAAGCCAAGCTCCACGCCCGCCGCGTCGCCGCGGAGCTCGGCTGCGACTCGGGCCTCGTCTACCTGCCGGGCATGCCCGAGCGGCTGCTCGAGGACTCGGACCAGCCGCAGCAGTTCCGCCAGCGCCGATAGTCAGTTGTTTCTTTCGCTCCATCCGTCGTACTGTACCCTTGGTGAGCTAACGGGGGTTTCCAAAACACAGCTTCCTCTACATGGCCGGCGCCAACTTCCCCGACTGCCACGTCACGTACGACATCGCCGCCGACCGCCTCATCCTCTGGGTCCCGTACGTCGAGCCGCGCGAGGTGCTCTGGTACGGCGCCAAGCCCTCGACCGCAGAGTGCATGCGCCGCTACGACGTTGATGAGGCGCGCTACGTGACGCAGCTGCCCAAGTACCTCTCGCTGTGGACGTCGGCGCACCGCGGCCGCACGCTCTTCGCCCTGCACGCCGACCAGGCGCCCGTGGGAACCGACCCCGATGCCCGGCTCAACGTCTCGCTCCTGCGCCCGGCCATGGACCGCGCGCGCGTCGTCAAGACCGACTACGAGGTGGCCATGGCGCGCCGCGCCAACGCCGTCTCCAGCGCCGCCCACCGCAAGGTCGCCCAGCTGCTGCTGCGGCGGCTGCGCTCCGAGCGCGACGTCGAGGCCGTCTTCGCCGCCGTGTGCACCGCCGCCGGCGCCCGCGACATGGCGTACCCCGTCATCGCCGGCGCGGGCGAGAACGGCTCCGTCCTGCACTACGGCGAGAACGACCAGCCCCTCGCCGGCAAGCACACCATGGTCCTCGACGGCGGCTGCGAGTGGCATGGCTACGCCAGCGACGTGACGCGCACGCTGCCCCTCGCCGGCAAGTGGACGCCCCGTGCGGCTGCCATCCACGCCATCGTCCAGCGCATGCAGGACGAGTGCATCGCGGGTGTCCGACCAGGAGCCCGCTTCGACCACCTGCACATGCACGCCGAGGACGTGGCCGTCGACGGGCTGCTGCGTTTGGGGGTCCTGCGCGGCGACCGTGACGACGTGCTCCGCGCCGGTACCGTCGCCGCCTTCTTCCCGCACTACCTCGGCCACCACGTCGGCCTCGAGGTCCACGACGTGTCCGGCGCGCTGCCCATCGCCGCCGCGCAGGGGCTCGGCCTCGACGGCGGGAAGCGCGCCATGGTCACGCCCAAGGACTCTCTCCGCATGCGCGCCGACAGGGCCGCCGAGACGAGCGGGCATGCGTCGTCGCGGGCGCGCGAGAGGCAGGACCTGCGACCCAACATGATAGTCACCGTCGAGCCGGGCATGTAAGTGTTCCTCCCTTCCCTCCTTTTCACTCCCCTGACCCAACATCCCCTGTGACGATACCCCCTCGTCTTGTTCTCCATGCGTGGCCTGGCAGATAAATCATCCTCGCAAGTGTCGCCGTCGCTGACGTCGTCCCCCGCGCAGCTACTTTTGCCGCTCGTACCTCGAGGGCTACTTCCTCGAAGACCCCGTGCACTCGCGCTTCATCGACGCCGACGTGCTCGAGGGCTACTACCCCGTCGGCGGGGTGCGCATCGAGGACTGCATCCTCGTCACGCGCGACGGCAACGAGAACCTGACGACGGCGCCCAAGGGCGAGGAGCTGCTCGACGTGATCAACGGGCGGGCGTAGTTGGCGGCCTTGCGGAGGAGTGCCCAATTCGTGAGTACTCCCTAGAGAGGTCAGCGACACCATTATGCGCATTTAAAGGGGCGCGGAGACAGCCCCAAGACTTTGCAGAGGTGGGCTTTGGTTCGCTGCGGGGAAGGGTTGGACATGTTCATCATCATGGCCGCATACATTTCATACCTATCTCGAAACTTGGGTCTTACACCCTGCGAGAGTCTTGAGATATCTTAGACGCCCCGTTTGCGACGGGGAGACACCGGGAGACGCACCGCCGTCCTTGCCCTCAGTTCAGTCCACATACCAACCTCTAGTCGAAATGCTGAGCCCTAGTCGACATACCAAACCTGCCCCTCGGGCACCTCCCTCATGACCGTCGCGTGCGACAGCACCTTGGGGATCAGCACCCACAGGTACTCGTCAATGTCGGGCCCGATGTAGTCCCTCGCCGTCTGCACCACCTCCGGGTGCTGGACAAGCGCGTCCGCGACGAGCTTCTTGAGGAGATCGCGTACGCGCGTCGAGGCGGCTTTCCAGGGGCTTTCTTGGCCTTTGTCCTCGCCCTCGCCCTCGCCCTCGCCCTCGCCTTTACCCTCACCGCCATCTCCGAGTTTGACAGGGCTCTTGTCGTCGTCTTTGCCCTTCTGCTTCTCACCTGCGGGTGATTGCGGTGGCGGCGGCGGCGGCGGCGGCGGCGGCGGCGGCCCTAGGGCAAGCAGTTCCCGCGTCGCCGGGTCCGCCGCCGCCTTGTCCGCCAGCCCCTGCAGCACGTCCATCATGCGCGCCTCCGCATCCGAGAGGGGTGACATGATGACGGCGCGCTCGCGGCGGGCCTTGAGCGGACGGGGCGACGAAGCACCAGCATCGTCACCTGCGGTGGTGTCCGTGTTAGTGCTGCTCATGTTGGCGTCCGTGGCGTCTGTGGTAGTGGTGAGGGAACTCATCGCCGCCAGCTCCGCGTCGTCCATCTCGTCCGCCTGCAAGAGGCAGCACGTGCGCACCTCGGGCCCGAGGGGCGACGACTGCGGGTCGTAAACGATGGCGCAGCGGCCCGTCGCGATGGCCCGCTGCAGGGGGTGCCCGACGCGCGTGTCGTGCTCGAGGCGCTGCTCGCGCGTCCAGCTGCCAATCTTCCGGGAGCGGTACCAGTCCATGATGCGCACCCAGCGGGCACCGCCGCCGCCGCCGGCGTCGCTACTATCCCTACCGGAGTTGTTGCCATCGTTGCTGCTACCGCTGCCGTCGTCCCGCTGCAGCAGCACCTGGTCCTCGTACTTGCGGACGAGCTCCGGCCAGGGGTCGAGCGGCAGGCCGGGCGCGCGCGGACGGGGTACGAGGCGGCATCCGCGGAGCCTGACGCGTAGACCGAGAGGTGTCGGCGTGCCGAGAGCGTCCGGGCCGTCCTCCCTAACGAAGCGCACGACGCGCTCGTCGATGCCGAGGACGGGGTCGCGCACCGACGAGCCGAGGAGGGTGCGCGGCGCCCATCGCCAGCCCGGCACGTCGAGGGGCTCCTCGAGGAAGAAAAGGAGGCGAACGGGAATGCCCTGTGCAACGTTGCCGTCGCCGTTGTCGACGCCGGGCAGGCGCGCGAGCTGCTCCCACACGCGCACCATGCGGTCCTGGTGCGACGCGGGCTCGGCGACGCGGCGCGTGTCGAGGCCCATAAGGGTGGCGATACAGAGCGGCTCGTCCGCAGCCACGGAGACGGTGCGGAAGTGCAGCGCGCGCTGCAGGTGGACAAGATCCGAGGGCGTCTTGTTGAAGAGGACAGCGCCGGCGCTGTTGCGCTTGGGGCTGAGAGACTGGAGCTGGTTGAACTGCGAATGGTGTCAGTGAAATATGGAGGGGAACGCTTCCGGTAACGATAGTGATGGTGGGTGAGGGCGAGGGCGTCCAGGAAGAGACACTCAGGGGGAATAGGAGGCTACACTCACCTCGCTCATGACGTCCTGCCAGATGCGCATGTACCGCGCGTCGGTGCAAGCAATGGCAAACAGGTCCTGCAGCAGGGCGACAAAATCGACGGCGCGGTCCGCGAATTGGACAAAGAGGCTCTGTGCGAGCGCGCCCTCTGCCACGACGTTAGTCGGTGCCCGCACACGGGGATCTCGACGCTCCTCGGAAGGAGGGAGCAGTAACAGAAGTAGAAGCAGCGGAGACAAGAGAGCAACTCACCCTGTAGCGTCCACAGGCGCCGCATCCAGGGCGACGCGCCGATGGTGCGGAGCAGCAGCTCGGCCGGGTGGACGTCCACCGAGGGGAACGCGGCCAGCGCCTTGTCGAGGACGAGGACGTGCGTGGCCTGCCGGTAGACGTCGGCGATGCGCTGCAGCGCGAGGAGCTTACCGCCGAGCTCGATGGGGCAGCAGAAGGTGTCGATCCAGATCCGGTACGGCTGAGTGTTTGCCGAGGATGTTGAGGAGCTGGGATCAGTGGTCGGGGTAGAGTCGGTGGTCGTGGCGGAGGAAGAGGAGGAGCGCACGTCGTGCTCGAGCCTCGCGACGAGGTGAGAGATGCGCTCGACCTGGCATCTCGGCAGCGAGTTGAGACGTGGGTTACCGAGGCCATCGGCCCAGACCTGTGTGAGAGTGAGTGAGTGAGTCGGCAATGCGAGTAAGACTCAGTGACACCCTCAGGAGCGTCTGAGTCTCAGGGGGCACTTACATGAGAAAAGGCGACGTAGGGCACGCCAGGAGTCCACGGCTCAACAGACAGTCGCAGTTGACCCTGCTCGTCGCCATCACCATCGCCATCACGCTCATCACCATCGCCCCTCGTCAGGCGCAGCACCGGAAACGAGTCCGTCTCGCGCAGCACACGCACAATGTCCGCCTCGCGCACCTCGATGTGCTCGCAGCCGCACCCCTCGCGCGCGTGCGACGGCTTGTACGTGTCGACGTCCATCTGAAACGCCTTGCACGCATGCACCGAGCACCCGCCGTGATCGTAGCCGGAAGACGGAGAATCATCACCCTGACCGATAGCCCTTCGCCGCAACCTGCTCGCGTAGTGCATGGTGAACGCGCCCTGGAACTGCGCGCGCACCTTGTCCACCTCGCTGGGGCACCAGCCGCGCGCCAGCATGCCGGCCTCGACGGCGCCGCCCGCCCGCACGTAGTCGCGGAACCAGTTGAGGCCGATGACGGTCGGCAGCGGCGTGGGCGGGCGCGAGAGCGACGCCGCCATGAAGAGCCCCGTGGTGAGCATCTCGCCCAGCGCCACGATGGAGTGCCGCACCGCGTCGCGCACGTTCTCCTGGATCGAGTGCAGCATCACAACGGCGTACCGCAGCGAGTCGCACATGTCCACCAGCCGCGCCATCCTGTCGGGCGCGAGGTTGAGGCGCTGGTGGAAGAGTTCCCCGGCTGCCTCTTGCAGGAGCACGGCGCCGGTGATGTACTTGCTTCTGCTGCTGTTGCTGCCTTCATCCTGAGCGTCGCCGTCTTGACCGTCTCTCACCAGCACCACCTCATACAGCTCTGCAATCTCGGTCCGCGCCGTCTCCTCGTCCACGAGTCGCATCCCTGGCGCCGTCTCATTGAGCCCAAGCACCTCGGCCACGAGGCCAAAGAAGAGCCACGTCTGCAGAAACGGCTCGAGCTCGGCCTGCGGCGTCGGGTACAGGTTCTCCGAGTAGAGAGCGTCGGCGGCCACCTCGGCCCCGGGCGTGTTCCGCAGGCTCACCGGCACGAGACCGGCACGGCCCTTGCGCACGGCGTAGCTGCGGAACGGGCCCCCGTCCCAGCGCTCGATGCACACGTATGGGCACGCCGGCGTCGGCGCGGCGGGGTCGTCGGGCAGGCAGAAGAGGTCCATGGCGAGCGCTGACTTGCGTCTTGATCGGCCAAGCTGGAGGCAGTCGGGACATAATAGCCCGCCGTCCGATCTGGATCCGCAGTGCCTCGGAGACGAGGCGGCTAAAGATGTCAATGGCAGAGGGTTGGTCCGTCTCAGCTGAGGCGCATCTCATGCAGCACAAGAGTCCAGGCTCTGGCGGTGGGGCGCCTTGCAGCAAGCTCGCCGCACATCCGTGTAAGCCAACGCCTAGAATCGCCTGACGGATTGACAGGAACGTGGGAGTGCCTTCTGTCCAAGATTTTGTCACCAGTGTTTGTGTGCTCGGAGTCGCTATCCATAAATATGCCTGCTTGTAGGGTACCGTCCAGCGTCCGACCAAATGACGTTGCCGTCGGGCTATGAGCCCGCAGCTTGGGCTTTGACTGGCAACGCTCAAGTCGTCTTGATTGAGAGAGCTCCATTGGGCACGATGTGGCAGCCGGGTCATAATAACGTAGGGTTGCTCAGACTCAAGTCGGGCGCCGAAACCGAGACCAGGCCTGTGCTGCAGAGACCTCGTGTTGGAAAGAGTCATCTATGCGCCAAGGTCCCTCCTCTGGCCTTCCACTGCTGTGTCATACCGACAGCCGCCTACCGTCGAGTTCTATGCTGACGAGAAGAGTATCAGCATGAGGGTGTTTTGTCGGAGCCTTCAGAGAGTCGCTAATAGCCTCGTCCGTGAGATCCCGTTCGGCTGGTCGGATTTCAGAGCGGCCGCTCATCGTGTGCCACACAGACAAGATTGTTGCCTGCGCTCGAGCTGCCGTTCAAAGAGCCGCAGAAGCCCTTTGCCAGCACGTCCTAGACTCGCGCCGTCATCCGTGGTTCGACACCCTAGGTCACGACGACGAGGCCTCCCCAGAAACCCGCGCCGCCTCCTCCTCCGCAATCCTCGCATCGCACACGCCGGGAAAGTCGCACCCGCAGCCAATCTCGGCGCCTCTCTTGACGCTGCGCATCGTGATGGAGTACCTCCCCTCCCTGGCGACCGTCCGGCCATCCACCACATCCGTCTTGCGCGCTCTGATGCCGTGCGTGTAGCCGTACCTCGCCGGGCCCATCATGAGCAGCAGCGACCGCGGCGGGAGGAACAGCTCCATCTCGTCGCCATCATCGTCATTCTCCTGCTCTGCGTCGCCTGCTACGACGTTCGGTACTTCTGGCGCCGTCGTCGTCGGCAGCGGTGGCGTCGAGGCCGCCTCGCTGCTGGTGGTAGTTTTGGCGGCAGCCAGGGACCGCTTGGGGAGCCGCATCCGCCGCGCGTCCCGCGCGCCGCACCTCCGGAACTTGATGGGCACGGCGCTCCCCAGCGATAGGCTGTACAGGGCCTCGCCGAAGAGCGAGTGCGTGTCGACGTGCGGCGGGATGCCCGCCCCTGGCGGGTAGTACTGTACGGTGAACTGGTCGGGCAGCTCGTCGCGCACCGGCAGCCGCGCGAGGACGTCGTCCATGTACCCCGGCAGCGGGGTGAAGACGGTCTCGGACGCGCCAAAGGTGGTGTAGTCGAAGTGATAGCCAAAGTGCTGGCTGAGCCGCTTCTTGCATGACGATGCCGCCGCGGCTGCTGCTGTCGGCGGGTGGTCCTCGTGGAAGGCGGATATGATGGCTGCCTCTTGCTCGAGGGTGATGAAGTCGTGGATGAGCGTCAGGCCGTTGTCCCATTCCTGGACCCGAGGGGTGCCAGACTGGGGGGCGGCAGCCGGCATGTTTTGTGCGCAATGCGAGATCGGTGAGTGTCGAGCTGCAATATAGGAATCGGATGAGTTGAGTGTTGAAAGTTTGCGTCCGAGTCTGGACCGCGACAAAGTGGGCCGGCGCAGCCAACGGTCCTGTGCGAGATACCACAGAGAGCGGATAACCCACTGAAGTCAGCGACAACCCGCTGGAGCAGAGCTTCCTTTCAGTACAATTTCAATACGTCTTGCACGGCGAAGACGGCGTCTCATCGATACAGTCGCCATTTCGCCGCGTTGTCTTCCCTCTATGGCCTCCCGGTTTGGTCGTCGCAGTCAAGAACAGCTGCCAAATCATAGCTCCCATCATGTCGTTATGATACACCTAGTAGTAATTACAAGCTGTACTTTACATAGGCCCTGTGCGCTTATACATGGTGAGAGAACAGAGGATGCAGGATGCTAAACAGAATACATTGCATATGGAAATCCAAAAAATCAAGGCAACTGCAGGCTCAAAAGGAACCCCGGACCCCGTCTACTACATCGTAAATGCACATTGCGGTGTACATGCCATCCAACGCCGTCCGCCCTAGATCCCACCATCACGTCCAAAGTCGTAGAGATCCATTTAGAGGTACTTCTTGGGGCTGTTGGCCCTCCGCCTCTTGTACAGGACATACGCAGTCACCAGGAGCGCCTGCGTGCCCACAATGATGAAAATCAGCTTCCCGTGGCCCGGAATGCTGCTCGTCACCGTGTGGCTCAGCAGAGTGTGGTGCTGGCCCAGGTACCGGTGCAGGTCGTCCTGATGCGACGAGAGCTTGTTGTGGATCTCGTCGCGGAGGGAGCGCACCTCGCTCTCGAGCTCCCGGATACGGTGCTGCAAGTCGTCGTTGCGGCTCGAGTGCGACAGCTGCTCACGCAGCTGGTCGAGGGCGTGTTTAATGTCCGCCTGGTCATCGTCGCTCTTCTTCTTGTGCTGCAGGTTGGTGCGGTGCACGGCGTTGAGGAGGTGCGTTGCCGACTGCAGGCGTTCGTGGAGGTCCTGGAACTGGGCCGACGACGTCTTGTACATCTCGGCCGGCTGGTCGGGCATGATGTTGCTGCCCTCGAGGTCGTCATGACCGCCGCCCTGAGGCCGCGTCTGCCGAGTCTCGTAGTTGATCTTTTGTTGCCTGTCGTGGTGGTCCTCACCAGACACGGTCGACTCGGACATGACCACCATCTTGAAGACCTCAAATGAGTCGGGCGTGTCGGGCGTCGCGGCCGTGAGGCCAAAGTGGTAGCCAGCCGGGATGCTGATCTTGTCCGTCTCGAAACACAGAGTGCCGTCAATCTCGACCCGGAACGAGGTGTGCGTCTGCCGCAGCTTGATCTGCGACGGACGGCCCAGATTGCGATACTGGTAGTAGCAGTGGCCAAACGCCAGCTTGTCCACATTGTGCTGGTGCACGTAGTCGGTGGTTCCGTCGTTGAGGAAGCCCCGAATCATGCCTGGGGAGCCCCCGTGCGTGTCAATAACCAGGCCCAAGCCCTCAAACTTGCCCACCGTGTAGATGCTGTTGGACCCGATATCGTGGTTGCCTCGGTGCGCGAGCCAGATGTTCAGGTTGCCGCTGCCTCGCTCGGGCCCATTGGCGCGAAAGTCGACATCGGCGGTCCATGCCGTGCGCGCCAGGGGTGACTCTGCCCAGATGGCACCTCGCTGGTTGCCGGGGGCCACGGGCGTGAGGATGATCTTGTTGGACAGCAGCTCGGGCTGGTGCGGCTGGCCGGAGATTGTGAAGCCCGGGATCTTGCCGTGGCCATCATGATCGAGCCTATGCAGAAGACGTCAGTGTCAGCCAGGGCTAGGCTCAATGCGCAAGAGGACAAACCGTCCAGAATGCCCAAAGCTCAGCTCGTTGATGAGCCACTGCGCCTGGGCAAGGTTGCCGGCGAGCAGAGCCGCCAGCGTCGCGGGGACGCCAATCGCTCGCATCTTGTATCTCGGATCGACGCAGGCACGGGCACAAGGTCACGTCGGAGGCTGCGAGGCGTGGTGGTGGTGGTAGCAGAGGAAGAAGTTGGGAGCAGCTGCCCAGACCAGCTGGCGGCGGGTTGAGGACACTTTGCAGCGCGCGAGCTCGGGACCCCTGTTTCTGGCAGCGCCGCGCACTGAAACCTGCAGGATAATAATAAAAGAAGAAAATAATTTATCGAGCCGCTGCGAAAAGCACGGCGACCCCGACGCTGCGTAGCGAATAAGTAGCCCGCGTCCGAGGGTTGTGCGGCAAGAGGCACGAGGAGGCGTCGAGGAAGTGAATGGCGGCAGACGGAGCATCTGGAATCCAAGGACCCTCAATCGCTCGTCCTGCCTCACAAAGCAGCCGCGTGCTTGACGCGCCAACAGCGGCCTTGAGGGGGCTGAGCCACAGCGAGCGCTGGGGAACCCCGGATCGCCCGCCAGACTGGAACGGATTGTTGTTCCAGAAGCCTGTGGCGCAGGTGGCTGGTGCCCACTCCAAAAGCCAAACGAGACAGCTGTCGTTGGAGAAGGTACGTACCCTCCTTCTGTGGGGGGGAGCTCGCCCTGACCACCGACCATCGCGGGAAGCTTCCCGTGCTCCTCCCGTTCGCCCCCCAAGCCCCGGCCGACAGACCATGAAGGGCAACGCAGCCCATTGAAGGAAGAAGCCTGAACTGGTGCCGTACAACACCTGCAAGGGGATTTGGCGGCAGAGGCACCATGTCGGAATTCTACCCGACGTTGGCGCAGTGTGCCGTCGTCGCCGGTGCATTCAAGATCCTCCTGTTCCCTGCCTAGTAAGTCGCCCAAGCCCCTCTGCCGCAGGCTCGCGACGCTGACAACGCGATGCAGCAAGTCCACCGACTTCGAGGTCCACCGAAACTGGCTCGCCATCACAAACACCCTCCCCGTGTCCGAGTGGTACTACGAAAAGACGTCGGAATGGACCCTCGACTATCCGCCCTTCTTCGCCTACTTCGAGTGGCTGCTCGCCCACGCGGCGCGACTCTTCGACCCGGCCATGCTGCACGTGTACAACCTGAACCATGAGAGCTGGCAGACGGTATACTTTCAACGGGCCACGGTCATCATCACCGAGATTGTCCTGGCCTATGCCCTGCAGATGTTCGTCGACACCACGCCGCTGCCCTCGAAACGCGCCGCGCAAGTCGCCGCCCTTTCCATCTTCCTGTCGCCGGGCCTCCTGATCATCGACCACATTCACTTTCAGTACAATGGCTTCATGTATGGCATCCTGGTGCTGTCGTTGGTCCTCGCTAGGTGCAGGTCGACGCTCCTGCAGAGCGGACTCGTCTTCGCTGCGCTGTTGTGCTTCAAGCACATCTACCTCTACCTCGCGCCCGCATACTTTGTCTTTCTCCTGCGGACCTATTGCCTGTCGTCTCGATCGATATTCCGCATCAAGCTGCTCAACTGCATCCAGCTGGGAGGTGGGATCGCGCTCATCTTTGGCGCCGCCTTTGGCCCCTTTGCGGCAATGAAACAGATTCCGCAGCTTTTGAGCCGCCTGTTTCCATTTTCGCGCGGCCTTTGCCATGCGTACTGGGCGCCTAATATCTGGGCACTTTACTCCCTTGCAGACCGCGTCTTGATCCATCGTAAGTCTAGCACACAACCCTGAGCAGGTCATAAATTAACATGTATCAGTTGCGCCGAGGTTGGGTCTTGCCCTCAAGGAGGACGCGCTGCATAGCGTTACACGCGGCTTGGTTGGCGACACGGCGTTTGCCGTACTGCCAGAGATTGTGCCGCGCGTGTGCTTTGCCTTGACGCTGCTCTTCCAAGGGCTGCCTCTCATCAAGCTATTCGCGCAACCGACGTGGGAGAACTTTATCGGGGCAGTCACTCTGTGTGGCTATGCCTCATTTCTCTTTGGCTGGCATGTCCACGAAAAGGCCATCCTGCTCGTCATCATTCCGTTTTCGCTCATCGCGCTCCGCGACAGGCGACACCTGGGAGCGTTCCGCCCGTTGGCCGTGGCGGGGCATGTGTCTCTTTTCCCCCTTCTTTTCACGCCGGCAGAATTCCCCGTGAAGACGATTTATACCGTCTTCTGGCTGGTGTTGTTCCTGATGGCATTCGACCGTCTGGCTCCAGCATCGAACAAGGCTCGATTCTTCCTTTTGGACCGGTTCAGCACGCTGTACATTGCCGTGAGCATCCCACTCATTGCCTACACGTCGCTGTTCCACCAGATGATATTTGGAAAGAGCTACGAGTTCCTGCCACTGATGTTCACGAGCTCGTATGCGGCCGTGGGGGTCGTGGGCAGCTGGGTCGGATACATGGTGGTGTACTTTACTTCTTAGAACGGACGCCGCCGGGCAGGGAAGACTAGATATTCCAGCGATACCCAGAGTTTTCAATGCAACTGCATTCAACGATTTTGGCCTGCGGGCCCCTGGCGGCCGCGATGCAGTGAAAAGCCGCCGGAGCCCGCTGGGATTGTAGTGCAGCTGGAGGAGCGCTGAGTCAGCGACGGAAGACGGGTTAAGTGGGCCGCTCCACGTGAGGCGCAAGGCTGACGGCCATTTTTGGGCCCAACGGGGACGTCATTTTTGCTGGAGGCACGTCTTCAAATCTCCCCCGGCCAGGTGGTCCTTGTCGCGCTCTTTGCAGCGTCGACAGGCAATGCAGCAACGCAAGCGGCAGATGCGCGCACGGCACCACGACTTGCAGGGCTCAATTGGCAGCTGCTCTAAGGAAGGCGAGCGCCTGACTGCCTGCCCTTGGTGGCCGTCCGGCGCCCATCCCGTGTAAGTCAAAGCCGGCCGGTGCCTCCCCGGCGGCATGACGTAGCTCTACAAGTATATTCCACGGCAAAAGGGCCATTTTCCAGCGCGTACAGCTCAGGTCATTTATTTCGTAAAGAATTGTTTTGGCGGAACATGAGTCGCGGACAAGGGGCCCGGCCGCAGCGGCCCTGGGGGGTCTGGGAGACGCGACGGCTCCAGCGCGAGGTGGGCGAGGAGGCCTACCCGACCGGGGGCCACGGCGGCAAGTCACATACACGGGCATAACTCTGCGTGCAGCGGGAATTCGCGTGTCCTTCAACGTGCACCGTACTCGCCTGCGACGGGCGAGCAAAACGAGCCCAAGAACGTGGGCGAAGTATGTGCTGGCGCGTGCGCGCGGCGCGGAAGGGAGTTGCGGCGGGCGGACGAGGAACATGGAGGAGTGGACGGTGGAGTTTGCGCTTTTGGGGGGAGAGGGTGCTGGGGGATGGAGGCGAGACGAGGCGGGCGGCGCGCCGGCGGCCGCGGCGGCGGCGGTCACGACGGGGCGCGGGCTCATTCGCTGCTGGCGGTCGCCCCCCAGGGGGGAGGAAGCGGGCTGCAGGTACCTGGCCTCCACTAACGCCGCGGGAGGTACAACCTAAAGTACGGGACTCGCATCGCACTGCATCGCAGCGCCCGGGCACGCCTCGACTTGGGATGGGGGTGGGCGAGGGGGAGACGCGCTGGAGCCGCTGGAACCCACCGGCCGCGACGTGGAACCTGGTTGAGGAAGCAGGCCCGCAACCGGGCTTTGTCGTGTCGTGTCCCGTCGCAGCAAGCAACTTACGGCAGGACAGGCACCGGCGCGGGCATGTGCATTTTTCTCGTTCATGGTGAGAATAGTGAGGCAAGGCAACAAGGCAAGCTATAAGGCGCGCGGTCGCGTCTCGACATCTGTTGTTCAGGACTGTGTGTACTCCACGCTGTCCCGCTGCCTGCCCGGCCCAGGAAATGACGCCGTCGTCGCCGCAGCCCTCTCCCCATTGTCCCTGTGCCAGCGCCGCAATGTTGATGTTGACGACAGACGTCCGTCCATCCGTCGTCCTCGTCGGTGCTGCAGCCACACAAGGAAGCGAGACACGGGAGTCGACGGAGGTGCGTGGTACTGCCGCCCCCCGACACCCACCAGGCACATGTACCGGTACCTGCCGAACCCTGGCGCAGCTACCGGCCGCCGGCCTTCCTCAAAGGTATCCTTTCGCCGGCGCACACGCCACAAGTGACCCGGGCCCCATTGTCCCCTCGAGCGGTCCTCTGTTGTCGCCGCCCGTCCCCCCCCACAGTTTTCCTTTCCCTCCTGGTCCCGTTCACCTCCCACCACCCACGCAATTCTTTTCCTCTCCTTCCTCCTTCCTCCTCCTCCTCCTCGCTTTGTTGCACTTGTCCGTCGCGTCTCTTGTCGGCCGCTGCCCGCTCGCCATCCGCCACCACCACGCGCAGCTGCTCCTCATCCACCTTGCGCCTGCGACAGCTTATATATACGCCCGACGACGCGCCCCCGGCCCAGCTTAGACACCCGGGTCGCGTGTAAGTCCGCGACGCTGAGCCCGGCCTGCAACCGCAAGCCGCCATTGCCAACCTCGAACGAAACCGCTCCCCCCCCCCAAACCTTGCACGTCAACATCAGCAACCACGACGACGCTCCCGCCAAACAGCCCGCGCGCCCGCTTCCGCACCGCGTCTCGGCCTCTCAACCACGCGTCCCTGAGCTGATGACATCTCACTCGCGCAACTGAGCTACCTCACTCATCTGTTAGTCTATGAGAGGAGTGCGTCAGCCGCCGAGGCGTCTCTTCATCTGCCCCTCGAGGCAGCCAGTTTCCTTGACTCTCGTTCGCAATGGTAAACAACAACTGCGCCCCCCTGCTCACGTTCGCCGCCGTTTTGCGCCGTCGGCTTACCCGTGCCCGTAGGTGCTTTTCAAGCGGAAACCCGTCAAGTTCCTGCCACCACCGGATATTGAAGATGGAAACACAGAGGTACGCGACCACCCCCCGTAGCTGACACGCATCGCGGACTTTTCTCACGGCTGTACCGTCACAGGTCTGGCACATCCCCCAGACGGGAGAGATTTTTGCAACATACGAGGAGTATCTGAACCGGTAAGTCCCTGGGTACCCAGTTTTCCACGCAGGCCCCCAGCACGGCTGACCTCGACACCCCAGGATGGATTTTTACAAGCAGGTGAGGCACCGTCGCTGCGTCGCATGGCGCGCATCAACTTGAGATGACGAGTAACTTACCAACTTTGTCAGCGTCGATTCAATGATCAGATCACCGGCCACTCCGGCTTAACATTTTTTGAAGCCTACAACAGCGAGGTTCGCTCTACCAACCCTGACTTGCGGACACTGAGGACGTGTTCGATCCCCAGGCGGCGCATTCCACTAACTCTCATGCGTAGCTCACTGGCGGTCGCGAGGTTGAAGCCGCGTTCCCTGAGGCGCTGAAAGGCCCCATCCTGCGCAAGGTTCAGTTTCAGACCATCTCGCGCCTGGATAACCTTGTCGACATGATCTTTGATGAATTCAAGCACGACTACTATCCTGGAGAGGAAGTGACGGTCACTGTCGATGGCGGGGAGAGGATCCATGGGCTTGTCAGGGACAAGTCGACGTTTGGGCCACGGATACTCGCCGACGGCTCCCGCACGCAACCGGTCACGCGATACCTCGTTGTGAGCAAGGCGGATCCCGACTCTGAGTCCATGTTTACCGACGAACACATCTGCCGCGACCGTGGAGTCTTCACCAAAGCCATGTTGCGCTCCTTCATCAAGAAGACGGTCACTCGAGAGGCCTGGAATGGCGCGCCCTGGCTGGTCAAGGACGACTACGCCGGGCAGTACCACATCGACACCCGCGTCCCCCCTCATTTGCGGTACGACACCAAGCTCCAGGAGCGGAAACAGCTGCAGGCCCAGAAGCGTGCCGCCCCTCACGACGTCAACGGACACGGCTTGCACGCCGGCCCGGTCCGCTTGCCGGAGCTGAAGCCAGCACCCAAGAGCCACAAGGGCAAGCATGGCCAGCAAGGCGGCAAAGGCCTGAAGTGGCCATCTAACATGTCCATCAACGGCGTCAACGGTGCCCATGACCACGCGCCCCCAGTCCGAGAGCCGACGCCGCCGCCTCCCCCTCCTCCGCCGAAATACCCCATCGAAGATTTGCAACTGGAGCCAAAGGAGGGTAGCGTGCGGCCTCCGCTCAAATTCATGTGCAGGAATTCTCCAGTCGAGTTGACGAATGGAGACGCTAACCATTCCGGCGAGCCGACATACGACCACATTGACATGGCCTCGGTCGGCCCTCTGTTAGAGACGTGGGATACCCTCAACGTCTACTGCGAAATCTTCCAGCTCGACTCGTTTACCTTTGATGACTTTGTCGAAGCCATGTCCGTGTCCTCTACAGAAGTTCCCGTTCAGCTGTTTGACGAACTCCACTGCTCGGTGCTCAAGGTCTTGGTCGACTCGGAGCAAGAAGGCGGCAAGGTACGAATCACGCTGCCCGAGCTCGAGGAGGACGACAGCGAGGAGGAGGACGAAGACGAAGACATGGACGAGACGGCCGAGCCGACGCCGGAGCCGGAGCCCAAGCCGACGGGACGAGCTACCAGGAGCAGCTTGGCCAAGGCCGAGGCAGAGCGCCTCGCTGCAGAAGCTGCCGCCGCGGAGGAGGAGACGCTGCGGGCCGAGCTCGAGTCGAAGCACCGTGCCGAGGAACTGTTGCGCGAGTACGACTGGATCGAGCACCTTCGCAAGCGAGACTTTGCAAACGGCGGCTGGGAGCGAATTGTCGTCGGCCTGTTCCACCAGCTGTCGAAGAGCGAGCGCCAGGAGAAGCTCTGCGAGGAGCTCTTGTTGCAGCTCGTACCTCCTGAAACGGAGCCGACGCAGGAGGTGGTCCGCCAGCGATACGGCGAGCTCGACGTCAACTTTCGCGTCAAGGCACTGCAGCTCCTCTGCATGCTCACGATGGAGACAAAGGCGGTCCGAGGGTACATGGAGGACTGCAGCGAGACGATGACCAAGTACCGTAAGGAACGAATCGAGTGGCAGAGGAAGCGGAAGCAGGCGTAAGTTTAGACACGATTCTGTTCCGGGGTGGCATCAACTAATTGCGTCTAGTGTCGAGGATCTGCGACAGCTCAACGAGGACCGCAAGGCGATGCTCCCCGAGAGCACGCCAGCAGAAGAGTCAAAGGACGCGGTGAGCAAAGACGACGACGTCAAAATGACGGACGCAGACGACTCGCAGTTGGACAAGGACGACGACGCAAACGGCACGGTCAACGGCAACGGTAACAGCAAACCCCAGAAGAAGCGACGTGGCCGCCAGTCCGACAAGCAGCGGAAGCTCGAAGAAGAAGACCGCAAGGCCAAGGAAAAGGAGGCCGAAGAGAAGGAGAAGGAAAAGACGCCCAAGGACATCGTCAAGCTCCCGCCGCAGCAGATGAAGCAGTACAACAAGATCCTTAAGGAGATCCAAAAGAAGGAAGACTTCATCAAGGAGTGCGAGGACGAGGTGGCCGTCATCGAAAATGACCTGCGCGAGGCCGACTGCCCGAGGACGCGGGTGCTGGGCAAGGACAGGTTCTGGAACCGGTACTACTGGTTCGAGCGCAACGGCATGCCGTACGCCGGACTGCCAAACAGCTCGACGGCGTGGGCCGAGTACGCCAACGGGTGCATCTGGGTGCAAGGGCCGGACGAGCTGGAGCGCGAGGGCTACATCGACGTGCCGGCGGAGCTGCAGAACGAGTACAAGGCCAAGTTCGACATGACGGTGCCCGAGCGCAAGGCGAAGGAAGAAGGCGGGACGAGCATCTTCAACGCGAACCAGTGGGGGTACATCGCAGACCCGGAGAAGGTGGACCAGCTGATCCGATGGCTGGACCCGCGGGGCTTCAACGAGCTGAAGCTGCGCAAGGAGCTGCTCAACTACCGCGACAAGATTGCGGCGCACATGGACAACCGCAAGAAGTACCTGGGCATCGGCGAGGAGAAGCAAGGAGAAGCGGCGACGACGACGACGGCGAAGCGGACGAGCTCGCGGATCCGCGATAAGACGCCCGAGATGCGCAACTACCGGTGCCTGGCGTGGGAGAACACGATGGCGCTGGAGGAGCTGGGCCACCTGCACATGGACCAGCCGCCGCCGCCGCGGTCGAGGAAGCAGACGAAGAAGCGGGAGGCGCAGAGCGAGCCCGCGGGGCGTGGCGCGACCAAGGCGCGCAAGAAGTAGGGTGATTTTGTCTTTGAATATGCGACGCATGAGCCGGCCGGACACGGACACGGACACGGACGCCATCGATGGCTGATTTACTTGTTTGGTCTATTTCTGCGGCAAAGCATGGCGCACGACTGGAGACTGGACGATGGTGGGTTACAAGGTTTATCATGACGAGCATATAAAGTCGATGGCAGGCAGCGGGTGGGCGTTTGGCTTGGATTGGATGGGGTAGTAGATGGATGCATGGCTAAACTGATGGGAGTAATTGACTGTGCATGTCACGGACCAGAGAGCGCATGGCTGTGAGGATAAAGGAGGAACCGGCTCTACTGTCACGGAGCAAGAAAGGGGCCGGCTTATTACGGTGTGTCGTGCGAATGAATTTGTAAGACGTCTGCATGTTTGGAGTCGGAGCGGTGCTGAAGATGCGCCGGTCCAGGTGTGGCATTTGCATGGCCAGGACTGGAGGAGCAAGCGATGCGAGGATGGTGGTGTATCTTGGCGAGTGCGAGAGGCTGAATACCCATCGACTTGTGTACTTGGCTTGCATGGAATGGGATTGCGAAAGATGGCAAAGAGGCTGTCAGTGTTGTTGTTGTGTTAGTTGGACTGGGGGTTTTGCTTTGCCTCGCCGCGGCGACGTCTTGGCCGCCGGGCGGGCATCTCGCATTCGCATTTGCCGCGACGCCACGCCCTCCAATCACAGGCGGGCGCCCAGGGCCGTTGGGCAGTTCATCAAAGTGCACGTAAGAGCAGAGACGTTGCCAACACGTTTCTCTTGCGCTCCCACACTTGCACAGTGGCGGACGGTGACACTCTCACTCACACATGCTGGCGATGCTGTCTGTCTGTCCGGCCGTCGAGTCGTTTTTTCCCCTTGCGCCGCGCGGCCCACGTAAACCCCCGTGACGACGGCACCGGACGACGACGGACGAAGCAGGGCAGATTCCCATCTGATGGGGGCAAACGACCTCGGTTCATCGTCGTGGCGCTAGCAGCCCTAGGACAAACGTGGACGGGTTCCCGGGTGGGTACTTTCTATGGAGTCTGCACTGCACTGCACTGCACTGCACTGCGCGCGGCGGCGCTCGATGCAGGGCAGCCGGCAGAGGCTCTCTCCGAGTGGCCTACCTAGTTGCCTAGGCGGTAGGTACGTACGCAGAGCGCTATATTCCGGTACTGGAGAAAAGTTGCCCGCCCGGGCACGCAGCGCATGTACTAGCGTTAGCATCGCAAGCATGGCGTCATGGAGTGCGAGCTGCGACCCTCCCCGCCCAAAAAGGTCCGCCGTGCGTCTTAGCATCATGCCGTCAAGTAAGGTACCCTCTCCCCTAGTGCTCTTTGGGAAGGGGGGAGATCGAGGGGGGGAGCCAGTTCTGCGGGAGACGGGAGGGAGGGCTGTTGCTCCGAGGCGCGCGTTGAGGCGGTAGTGGTGGTGGTGGTGGTCTGCCCAGGCCGAGGTGAGCGGGACGGGGTCGGTCCCTCCCCAGTCGGTCCCGTATATAAATGAGGTGTGTTCGTGCCAACGACGTCGTCGATGGGGTCCGCGTCTACTCCGTACATACATCATCGCTTCACCCAAGCATACTTACACCGATAATTACTTTGGAATCGCACTCGGTTCCGTACTGCGCCGCTCTGTCAACTCGATTGCGTCGACTGCCACTTTGCATCGCCCCCCCTTCTCACGGACAGAAAGCATCAAGCATTCGCCCGCCATGGCGTCGTCCAACGAGGAGCTCCCCAAGGTGACGCTGTACTGGTGAGCACCACTCCCTCTTCGTCTTTCCCTCACTTCACCATCGCCGCGTGCCTCTTCCAATGCGCGCGGTTGGGACAAGGGGGCTGACATACTCGTGCAAACACAAACAGGCTCAACGGCTCCCGCTCGCAGCGCATCATGTGGCTGCTCGAGGAGCTCAAGGTGCCGTACGACGTCGAGGTCTTCCACCGCAACAAGCAGACCATGCTGGCGCCGCCCGAGCTCGAGAAGATCCACCCGCTCGGCAAGTCACCCGTCGTCAGCGTGCTGCCCGCGGGCGCGCCCCCCGGCACCGAGCCGCTCGTCCTCGCCGAGAGCGGCCTCATGACCGAGTACCTGTGCGAGCACCTGCCCGAGGGGCGGCGCCTCGTGCCGGACAAGTGGAAGTCCGGGTGCGAGGGCAAGGTCGGCGGCGAGACGGAGGCGTGGATGCGGTATCGGTACCTGCTGCACTATGCCGAGGGGAGCCTGATGCCGACGCTGGTGGTGGCGCTGGTGACGTCGCGTACGTTTGTTTTCTTCCTCTTCCTACACTTGAGGCGCACAAGCCGGTCGATATGGCATGCGGTCGATATGCCATGACACGCCTCGACTCGAGTCTCACTTGACTGACCTGTGCTGTGCCATGTCCAGAACTCAAGTCCCCCGCGCAGGTCCCCTTCATCGTGCGCCCCATCACCTCCATCGCCGCCAACCGCATCCTGTCGCAGTTCGTCTTCCCCAACGCGCTCAAGCACCTGCGCCTCATCGAGTCGTACCTCGAGACCTCGGGCGGCCGCTACCTGTGCGGCGACGCCCTGACGGCCGCCGACATCCTCATGAGCTTCCCGCTCATCGCCGCCAAGGACCGCTGGGACGAGATGGGCCGCTTCGAGGGCGGCTCCTGGGCCAAGCAGTTCCCCCGCGTCGCCGCCTACGTCGCCCTGCTCGAGGCCGAGGAGGGGTACCGCAAGAGCGTCGAGCGCATCGAGAAGATTGACGGCAAGTTTACGCCGTCGCTGTAAAGGGGTGGGGGGCTGCCCACCCTTTTTTTTTTTTTTTTTTTTTTGCTCGAGGTGTCTGTGTCTCCTTGTTGCTGGAGGTGGTGGTTTGGGGGGGTTTGACGATGCGGTGGAAGAGCAAGTGAAGGTCCCCAGGGGGGGTGGTGGTGGTGGTGGTGGTGTAGGTGTGTGTGCGCACGTATAGTTTGATGCCGCTGCAAAAGATACCAGGAAACACAGTGCAATTTATTCGGTGGCCAAGTTAGGTAGTATAGAATGTCGTTTGGGATATAGGATTCACACATAGACTGGCAAAGATTTTCATCCTTTCATCCTATTCTTCTCACTTATCGCTGGAACATGAACAAGAACCCATGCTTCGTGAAGGACAGACGTTGGCCGCAATCGTATTACAGGCGCCGTCTCGGCTGTGCTACAGTACCTGAACGCCCCCTGTGCTGCAGCGGCCCCCCGTCCCGTCCATCATTGGCCGGTGCCCACACCACCACCACAGACCCCCCCTGTCGCCCGCCCGCCAACCTCCAACCTCACTCTCAACGTCCAGAAAAAAAAAGCTGCCGAGCTCTCATCACCACTCGCTCGCCCATCCGTCGGGGCTCCCAACGAGGCCACGTTGCCCGCGGCACGAAGCGCCCCCTCTCATCCATCTCGCCGGCGCCATGTACGTGTCACGGGCAGTCTGCTCGAGGTGCGCCTCGCGCATGCGCCTGGCCGTCACGACGTCGGCCGCCGCCGCAGCAGCAATAGCCTCTCCGCGGCTCTCATCCACCGCAGCCGATGCCTCACCAGATGCCGCGACGGGCACACGCACACGAGACACTGAGCCGCGGCGGCAGCACCAAGCGCAGACATCTTCTGCTGGATCGCATCAGCAGCATGCACGCCGCCGGCCGTCCCACCAGAGAAGCGCCAAGGCGTCGCAGCAGTCTGCCGTCGCCCTCTTCAACGACGTTGTCAAAAAGGCACCGCAAGCCTCTTCGCCTCCCTCCGCCTCATCCCCTTCCACATCGTCCCTGCAGCAGCAGCAGAACCACAAGCCCGCCACCGCACTCGGCGAGTGGGAAATCGCCGCCAAGATGAAGGAGCTCGCCGAGCAAAAGGCCCTCGACCCGCGCGACCGCCTGCGCCTCTTCCGCGCCGACATTTGGCCGCACGTCCGCGAGCTGCGCGGCCAGATGCCCCGCCACCTGTACATGGCGACGACGCAGTTCCTCGCGCGCGCCTGCGACGCCGCCGCCGACGCGGGTCACACGGGCGCCAGCGGTCCCGGCGTGGGCGTCGAGCTGTCCGCCATGTGCGCCCGCATCGGCAAGTGGGACCTCGACGTCCGCAACGAGCTCGTCCTGAGCCTGTGCCACTCCCTCGTCCACGCCAAGCACTCGTCGGCCGAGCGCGCCGCCATCCTCGAGGAGCTGGTCGACCTGTGGAAGCACATCTCGCAGCTGCGCCGCAGGAGCCAGGGCCATCACGCGCCGCTGCAGTTTGTCCTGCCGACCCCTGCGGAGGCGTTTGGCGGCAAAGACGCTGGCCATCAGCAGCAGCAGCAGCAGCAGCAACAGCGGTCTAGCAGCAATATGAACCCCACGACCAAGGCCCTCTCCAGCATCTTCATCCAGTTCCGCCTCGAGCAGGCCCGCGAGCTGGTGCCGGGCCTGCTGGCCACAGTCGCCGTTCTCTCCGATCCGCGACTCGCGCGCCAGGGCAGCCAAGTCAAGGCCGCACCGCTCTTGAACCTCGTGGCGCAAGCGTTCCAGAGACAGGGCAACCCGGACCAGGCCTACATCGAGGAGGTGTTTCGAAACAAGATCCGCTTCCCGTCGTCAAAGCTGGACGAGCTCGAGGCGTACATCCTCAAGCAGTGGCCGCACGCAGAGGCAATGCTGTCCAATGCCGCCGCGCCCTGGCGGCACGCCCTAGAGGGTTCCAAGGGAAGCGGCTCGTCGTCCGGCCTCGCCACGTTCCACCGACAGCTCCGCGCTGCGTACCGCGCTCGCAACACGGGCGCCGTCGTCTCCATCTGGCAGGACCTCAAGACGCGGCTGGCGCAGAAGCCCGACCTGGCGCGGCAGATGCGCGAGGACCCCGAGTTCCTCGACTTTTGGATCTTCGTGTGGTGTGCCGTGCGGCGGCCCGCCAAGCTGCAGGAGACGCTCGACCTGATGCAGGAGACGGGGGTGCGGCCCTCGGTCAAGACGTACACGGCCATGATGCACGGGTGGAAGATGTGCAAGGACGGCGACAAGATTGCCGCTCTGTGGGACAAGCTCGTCGAGTCGGGCCTGCGGCTCGACGCCGTCATCTGGACCGAGCGCATATCCGGGCTCATCGAGTCGGGCAGGCCGCAGGCCGGCGTGCAGGCGCTCGCCGAGATGATGGCCCTGTGGAAGCAGGCGCTCGCCAAGAAGGGCGGCGACGCCGTCGCGGCGGCGGCCTCGGCCATCCAGCCCAGCATCGAGGTCGTCAACGCCGCCTTCAAGGGCCTCATCCGGCTCGACCTCAAGGCGGCCAACGAGGTGCTCGCCTGGGCCGGCCGCGAGGGCATCGAGCCCAACATCCGCACCTACAACATCCTCCTGCGCGAGAGCTTCCGCGGCAACGCCACGCCCGACGACGACGTGCAGTCGCTGCTCCGCGCCATGAAGCGCCAGGGCGTCGAGCCCGACGCCGCCACCTTCACCATCATCCTCGAGGAGGTGCTTGGCGTCATGGACAACACGTCGGCCGCCGAGCAGGTCCACGCCGTCCGCCAGGTCCTCGCCGACATCGAGGCCGCCGGCCTGCGGCCCAACCTCGAGACGTACGGCAAGATGCTCTACGCCGTGGCGTCGCTCGCAAACGGCGGCGCAGACGAGGCCGTCGCCGCCGTGCAGGAGCACATGCGCGCCGCCGGCTTCTCGGCCACGCCGCACATGGTCACCATTCTCATCGAACGTGCCCTCGCTCGCGAAGCCTCTTCCTCGTCCTCCTCATCCTCCACTCCTTCATCGGCGTCCTCCGGCGCCGCGGCCTCCGCCTCCGCGCAGGTCCAGGCCCTCCTCCGCGAGCACAACCTCACCCACGTCGGGCAGGGCGACCAGACGCTGTGGGAGCGCGTCATGAGCGCCCACGCCGCCGCGGGCGACACCCCCGCCGCCATGCGCGTCTTCGCCGACCTCGCCCGCGCCGGCCGGCCCGTCACCTCCCTCCCCTGCCTGACGGACCTGCTCCGCGCGCTGCTCGCCGCCGAGCGCGCCGACGACGCCCGCGAGGTGGTGCGCGTGGTGCTCGCCCACAAGGTCCGCCGCGCGGCTGCCGAGGGCGGCAGTGCCGCCGGCAGTGGTGGTGCCAGTGCTAGTGCCAGCGGTGCTCAAGATGCCAGTGGCGATGCCCATGTCACAGTCGACGCTGGCAGCGGCGGATTCAACAGCGAGGCTGCACGCGACGCGCGCTACTGGCGGCACCACTTCTGGTACATGGCGCGCGAGAACGGGCTGCTCAACTGGGACGAGGTGCCCCTGGAGCTGCAGACGCGGCTGCGCGGGCAGGGGAGCAATTAAGCCCAATGGTACAGACAAGCATATCCTCAGGATTACCTAGGGGCTAATAGCCGTGTATAAAACACCGCATGCTGTATTATCAGGTCGTCGCGCTCGACTACATCTGGCCAAATGCCACGGACATGTACCATAGAAGAGCAAGGGTGACAAGCCCAATAAACTTGTCCCAGTCAAAATCATTCAGCCAAACTGCCTGCCCCTGTCCCGTCCGGCCCAGTCCCATGTGCCGTGTCCGTGATTGCCCACGCCCCGAGTACGCCCAAACACCAAGCAAGATAGACAGGCCGCATACCCAAGCCCATCTCGTCCCGTCCCGTTTCACCAACGCATCCAGTCCCATCCTATCCTATCCCGTGCTGCATCACCACCCCATTTCATATCCATCATCCCCATCTCACGACTCGTCCATAGCATCATCGCCTCCCCTCGTCGAGCCAGAAGGCCCCCCATCATCCCCGACACCACCTCCCGCCGCAGAAGCCGACGCCGAGGCCAGCACCGCCGCCGCCCTCTCCAGCCCCTCGACCTCCTCCCTGCCCAGCCCCCGCCCCTGGCCCTGCCAGTCCCCGTCGCGCACCTCCCCGCGCGGGCCGAGCTCCAGCCCGCCCGCGCGCTCCAGGTACTTGCGCGACGAGGCCTCGATGTACTCTGCGCGCTGGCGGCGCCACGTCTTGCTGCCCTTGACGGCGGCTTGCTCGTCCTCGTTGTCGTTGTCGTCGGCGTCGGCGGCGGCAGCCGTGTCGTCGTCCAGCGCGCCCAGGTCCGGCAGAAGGGTGCGCAGCGACGTCGACAGCGCGCGCAGGGCCTGCAGCTGGGAGAGCGCAAACTCGGCCGTTGTGGTGACGGGCTGGTCGGTGCCGCCGTCCTCGAGCGTGCCCTTGTCGCTGAGGAACTTGAGCGGGGCGCACGATGATGCGGGTTCTTGGTCGTCGCCTTCGCCTTGGGCGGCGCCGGCGTCCTCCGTCTTGACTGGGGCGTCGTCGTCGTCATCGTCATCGCGCACGCCCAGCACGCCGCGCAGCCGCCGCAGGAGGACGTCGTTGCGCGCGCGCTCGGCCTCGAGGGCGGCCTGGAGGCGCTGACTAGCTTGCAGCCTGCGTCGGAGGGCGGTAACGGACTCGGACGTGGGGCGGTCCGGGTCTACCCCTCCCTGTTGCCGCCCTTGTTCTCCTTGTCCTTCTTGTATCGTGGTCGTTCCCGCACCGCTAAAGTCGAGGCCGTCGTAGTGGGCGAGTCGCATGTACGGCTGGTCGTCCGGGCGGACGCTCAGGATGTTGCGCATGGTGTAGAGCTCGAAGAGGTCAAAGTTCTTGTCGATGGAGGCGTTGAGCAGCGTCTCGAGCTGGTGCGTGCCGTTTTCGATTTCGCGCTTGGCGGCCTCTTCGGGGGACAACTGCTGCTGCTGCTGCTGCTGCACCTGGCCGTTGTTATCATTCTCAGCGGCGAAGACGGCGGCGGTCCCGCATCTCAGGTCTTTGGACTTTTTGCCGCCGCCGCCGATGGAGGATGAAGAGAAGCCGAGTTTCTGTGGGGGGATGGACAGGAGGAGGCGCTCCACGGAGTCGATGGCGCAGACACATCTAGATGTGTATAAGAGACAGGGACAGGAGGAGGCGCTCCACGGAGTCGAGGGCGCGGTCGGCGAGGACGTTGACGGTGTTGATGATGTCGTCGATGAGGGCCTGTGTGTGTGGGTGCGCATGTTGGCTGTCTCTTATACACATCTAGATGTGTATAAGAGACAGGACGAGGGAGGGGCGGGACACGTACGACGGGCGGGTAGCCCAGGTGCTCGGTCAGGAGCTCATAGTCGCTGTTTGCGGCCGGAGCGGCCATGGCGAAGGGCGTGCGCGCGCGATGCTGCTGCTCCTGCTGGTGTTGCTGGTGTTGGGAATGGCTTCAGACGCGCGCCCACGAGACGCGTCGCCACCTAGCGAACGACTTGAGAAGGACGGGACACGCAGCGACCGAAATGTGAGATTGTCGCGCAGAATCGCTCGGCGCAATTGGAACTCGAAAGCTGTAGGTGTTATCAAGGTCGGTGGCGCGCGAGGAAGATGCGAGGCTGCGCTCTCGTCCTCATGGCGGGGAGGATCGGTCGTCGCGTCGGCAGAAGATTGATTGATGGATGGATTGATGGACCCGACGTCAAACGAGCACGAGCTCCAGTGTAACCCACCCTGCTGCAGCTGCCCGCCCGACAATGTCCTGTACCTGTAGTCCCTCCATTAGCCTGTAGAAAGAAGGAGCCCCGCCAGCGCCCGCGCCGCATAGGTTTGCGTCACCCCGCACCCGCCCAAGCTGCTGCTGCTGCTGCTGCCCGCTCCAATGGAAGCCCGACCGTTGCGACGACGTTCCATGCGCAGCCCCCATCTGATCCGCACACCACCCTCCTCAGACCTCAACCTACCTTCGTTAGACCTGAACTTCCATAACCACGCAAGGGCACCAGTCCCTCCTCTCGTGCCTCGCTCCGCACCTGATACCAACACTCATCCGCCGTCTGAACCCCCTCGTCCTCCCGGCTCTTGCCAACGCCCCTCCGAAAAGGCGCGCCGCCTCCAACTCGGCTCTCCCCCCGGCTTCTCCCGCCCAAGCACCGCCGCAGCCATGTCGCAGTTCAAGGGCATCATGAAGAAGGGGTGGCACCCCGAAAAGAGCAAGTCGAGCTCCGGGTCTGGCTCGGGGTCGGGCTCCGGCTCGGGTTCAATCACGGGCATGGGCATCAGAAACAAGGCCGTATGTCCACTGTTTTTCTTCTTCTGTTCCTCCTCCCCCTCCTCCTCCTCCCTCCTCTTCACTCCTCGCGCGCCCCGCGACGGATCCCCTTCGAGGGTCGTACCAAACGCTCACCACCACCCAACAGTCAGGCCTCGTAGGCCGCGGCGGCGGCAAGGACTCGCGAGACGAAGACCGCGCAAACCACGTCTCCCGCCCCCTCTCCTCCCTCCAGGACCCCTCGTCCTTCGCGCCCCCTCCCAAGCGCACCGGCGCCGGCCTCGCCCCCGCGCCGCCCCCCTCGTCCGCCAAGCGCAAAGTCGTCGCCGCACCCTCCAAGTATCAGGACCCGCGCGCCCCTCCGCCGCCGCGCGAGGAAGAGTACGAGCAGCAACAACAGCTGCAGCTGGAAGCGCCGCCCGAGGAGCCCGCACAACCGCGCGCCTACCGCACCGACACCACCGGCCTGAGGACAGATAACCTCCCCCCGCCGCCCGGCCGGAGGGACGGCGCCGACGGCAGGAGTCCGCCGCCTTACGAGGCCGTCGCGGGGGGTACGCGTGCCGCTGCTGCGCCGCCGCCCAGCCTTCCCCCACGGCTGCCGCCCCGGACGAACAGCGGGAGCCCGCAGAGCGCGAGTCCGGCGCATACGGGCGGAAGCGGTGGTGGTGCTGGTGGCGGGTACTTGAACGCCGGGGCCGTCAACAGGTTAGGTGCGGCCGGCGTCTCCGTGCCGGGCTTCGGCATCGGCCGCTCGAGCCCTGCCCACGCCGCGTCCCCGAGCCCGCCTCCTCCGCGACCCGCCGCCGGCGGAGCGGGCAACAGCAACGGAAACGGAAACGGAAACGGGGGAGGCTACGGCGCGCAGGTCAACGAGCTGCAGAACCGATTCTCCAAACTGGGCACCTCCTCGCCCGCGTCTGCATCGTCGCCCGCGCCCCCTCCTCCTCCCAGCCAGGGCACCACATGGGCGCAGAAGCAGGCCGCCCTCAAGACCGCCTCGTCCTTCCACAAGGACCCCTCGTCCGTGTCCTTCTCCGACGCCAAGGCTGCCGCCAGCACCGCCAACAACTTTCGCCAGCGCCACGGGGACCAGGTCGCCGCGGGCGTCAGGTCCGCCAACAGCCTCAACCAAAAGTACGGGCTCGCGGACAAGGCCGGCGCCCTGGCCGGCCGGGGACAGGTACCGGCGCAAGCCAGCCCCGGAGAGGCCAATGCTAGTAATGCCAATGCTGATGCCGTGGCCTCGGCGCTGGCGGGCAAGAAGAAGCCGCCGCCGCCGCCACCCAAGAAGAAGCCTGGGCTGTCGAGTGCAGCCCCTGTCAATGACGACGCGCCGCCGCCGATTCCCATGTCTACACGACCTACGTTTTGAGCTCCTGTCTACGACCACTTTGCATCTGGGCGGCGTCAGTTCTATTTAGTGTGCATGCTTTGAGTTTGTTGGCGTGCAAAGAATCATTCTCATTCTCATTCAGATTCACATTCACATTCACACTCACACTCACACTCACACTCACACTCACACTCACACTCACACTCACGGGACGGGGTTGATGAATGCACGGGATGCAGCGACGGGCATGAGACTCGTTACTTTTTGTTTCCGTAGGGTAGGGTTCTACGCCCGGCTCCCGGGGGGGAAACGAAATAGTATGGCTCTTCTAAATCATGACCCCGCCGCCATGGCGGTAGGACGCGCGTGCGCAGATGCAACCAAAGCCGATGAACCAGTTCGCTTAGACCTTGGTCTCCTTGCAGCCGTGCTTCCAGACGATGACGTAGGGGGTGACACCATCCTCGCGGTAGTTGAGGAGGACGACGCTGGGCTCAAGTCAGTATACATGGCCGATGCATCATATCCAGGGAGCAGTAGGGGGGGGGGGGCTCTTACAGGCCATCGGGGTTCATGGACTCGCCAGTGTAGAACTCGAGATCCTTGAAGTTGGGCAGGAGCTTCTCCTTGACGTAGGTCTGGGCGCCCTTCTCGAAGGCAGTGATGGTCTCGGCATCAGCACCCTTCTCCTGGAGGGCGGCCTTGACAGCCTTGAGGTAGCCTGTGCGGCGTGTCAGTACGGGCGGGTTGCGGCTGTGCCGTCGCGGCAGCGGATTCAGGGGTTCGACGCACCCTTGAGGTAGGCCAGGTAGCCCTTCTTGTCGAACTGGGTGGACTGGAGACGGAAGGAGTGGACAATGTTGTTGACCTTGACGGCCGTGTCCTCGAGGGCCTCGTCGTCGCCGCCCTCGGCGGAGGCGTTGGCGCCGGTGTCTGGTAGCATCCAAGTTAGTCCGACCGTGCTTTGGTATGGCATTTTTAACGGCCCCCTGCGCGCATGCACCCGTGCCTCCCTGCACCTCGCCCGCGCTGGCATCTCTTATGCTGCCAGCGTGGAGCATGGGGGGTTTGTTTTGCTGTTTAGGCGCGGGGAGCGACGAGGCGACATGGGGGAAGTTTTTTTTTTTTTCTCCAGCTCTCGTACGTACCGACGTTGACGGCCTCCTCCGTGATCATGGCGCAGTCGGCCTCGTAGACGATGCCATCGATCTCCTTGAGGTCGTACGAGTCGGAGATGATCTCGTCACCGGTGAGAATATCCTGTTTGCGCGTCGATGGTCAGCCATCTTCCCTCCGGTCATGGCTCGCGGGCACACAGGACTGAGGCAGGGAGGGGCGACAAGTCCCTGGCGGGGTAACGAGCAACTCGTCGCGAAGGGGGGAAGCCGCGCAACAGAGGAAGCTTCGTGCGCGCGCGCAGGAGAGCTCCCTCGCGGATTGGCAAATGAGAGGGAGAGGCACTCACGTTGTAAATCTTCATTTTGGCGGTTTTGCGACGAATCGACGAAGGTTGCAGATGCGGGAAGGGAGATGGGGACGTGGAGGAGCAAGCAAGTGAAAGAGGGTGGAGAGGGAGATTCAGGACGGTGCTTTTACATTTGGTCGCGGCAGGAGGCCCGGCCAGGGCTGGCGGGGTGTGGAAAATTCATTGCCTGGGGCTGGTGGCGGGCGGGTGGGCGGACGGGCGCCGCTCGCTGGGCTGCTTAGGTTGCTCTGGCCTGTGGCTGTTGCTTCAATCCGTGGTGGGGTTCACGTCGCCCAGCCAATCCCGGCGCGCATAGCAGGCAGCTAGCTGCCAACTGAGTCCAGACTTGGGCGGCGGCGCCCCGCCTGCACTCAAAAATTTCGACCAGGCGCCTCCAGTTCCAATTGAGAGCGAGCCTGGGCTGGCAGTGTGCACGCACAGCGCAGTGCTGTTGCTCGCTGTTGCTGCTGCCCGGACGAGGTCCCTGCGTCGAACGCCCGCCACTCATGTGATGTGATCTGTCGCGGGCGCTCATGCTTATGGCGGGGTGGCCGGCGGTCGATGGATGAGATGAAAGACGAGACAGCAGGTCCCGCTGCCATTGGGTACTTCGATGCAGACGAGATGGATGAAGAATAACAACGTCACTGCACTGTTCATGCTTTCGCTCTGGGCAAACTCTATCAGCAGCATCGCATAGTGTTGTAAATTGGCGATAGCTTCATTGTCTGGCGGTGTGCCGCTGTTGGGCATCAACCACGACATAAACGACACAGCTCCCCCAATGCAACCCCATCAAGGGACGTGCAGAGCGATTGAACCGCAACGACACATAGTCCCCATCGAATACACGCCAGACGCGCAACGTGACGAACTGCTGCTGACCTGCAAAGCCACGGAATGCTTCAACCCATGATCGGTATAGGGTAGCCCACATGCTACGAAAGTCACGAGACAGCGTGAAAGCGGCGGACATCAGCATCCGGACCGGACATCAGCCCGACTCGGCTTGCTGCTCGCTTCCAGGTCCAATATCGATAGGTCTGAAAACGAAGCTTAGGATCCTCGTATTGGAGCAAGTACTGTACTTCTTCTTGGCGGTCCCCTCGGCAGCCCGACGATTGGGCATGCAACAAAGCATCAACCGGCGGCGCGCACAAAGTCAGACACATGCCAACAGGCGACAGTCTGCTGACCACAACGGCGGTCGCCTGGACATAGCATGATGATGCTCAGGCACCGGCGTTTTGTCCGCATGCCAGGGAAGAGATACGGACGGTCATCTCCAAGGGGGCGTGTGTGATGCTCCGTACCTGCAGCGGCAACAACCCATCCCATCCCTTGTGCCTAGGATTACATCGGCAGGCTTCGTCCACAACGTCGTGCTTGAACGCGTTGCAAAGGAGGCTCACGACGGGGCTGCCAAACAGGCATATGGAGCAGCCAAGGGGAGGTAATTAGGGGAGACGCATCATCCGCCATCGTCAGCGGCCCAGAATAGCCACACGCTGACGCGGTTACGCGCGACTTGGCCGTCCCTCTTGGGGCCTGAACCAAAGTTCGCAACGGGGCGCGCGAGCCATCTTATTACTCCCTCGCCTTTAGCACCAAGAGGTGGTACGCAAGCAGTTCCTCTGTAGTTGCATCCGTTTGCCTGGCTGACGTCGCCGTCTAGTCCTCGGCTCTCGTCGGGCGTCATCAAGATTCAACAGTGGGCAACGGCGGGAACGCTCGGGGTGGGCTGATTGTCTTGGCTCGACGCGTGAGGTCGGAGATTCAGTGAACCGAGATTGATAAAAAGGGCCCAAAGGGGAAAAAATAGGTGTTCGCGCCCGGCTGACGACAGAATAAACCAGGACGCTTGCCGCCGTGTTTTCCGCTGGGTCTCTGACGACAGCATTTTTTGCATGGCCACTGGCGGGAGGCACGTCGCGTGGCAGCAGGTAAACGGTACAAGGGGTCGCTGGAAAACGGCCAAATCCGAGCCTCCGACGCTCCCGGTCCCGCGCCGCTCGCATCCAGCGTCGGCAAAGCGACAGTTCCAGGTTGCCCGGAGGCGCTCAATCGCAGGCGGGTACCGCCTACCTCGCGCCCCAACCGCCGTACCTTGGCCACCAGCGCAGCGATTGATTCGATGCACCGCAATGCAGGAGCAACCCAGCCCAATTGCCCACCTCCTCCAAGCCCGCATTTTCCCCTGGTAGTTGTGGCATGGTGTACATGATACATCTACCTTGCGCTCACTCGCTCCAGTACCCGCATTCTTTTTCGCCTCCTTGTGTCTGCCCACCCCCCTCCACCCCCATCGTCGCCACCACCATAGTACTTGAACTTATACATCCCATCGCTCACTCCCTTTTCCCTTTCTTGGGCCGTCTCTTCCTCGTCCAAACCCGCCGCCGCCGCGAGCCGTCAATAGAGCGCAAGTACCACAAAACTACACTCTGGCGCGTCCATTCCTTACCTTGTGCTTTTTTGGATTTCCACTCCCGCTCTCCCGCGCCCATCGTCGAAAACCCGACCCCCCCGGCTTCCGTTGACGAAAACGTCCGTCGCGTGCTCGCTTCGCACGCACGCACCCCGACGACCACCCGCTCCGACTCCCGCCCCCAAGCTCCGTGGCCTTGGTTGCATCGCACGCGCGCCTCACCGACTTCAACCAACCTCGCCCCCCCCTCTCCCCCGGCCGACGCGGACATCGCACAGGCAAACACCACAAGCAAGGGGCCATGGTGAACCACACGTCCGGCTCCCTCGCTGCAGCAGCCGCCGCCGCAATGGCCAACGACACGCTCTTCGACACGGCCCTGCCGCCGCTCCCCTCGTACAGCCTCGAGCCCACGGGCGACGTCTTCTCGTGGATATCCGACTTCTGGCTGTCCCTCCTCCTCCCCGTCGCCGTCTACTGGGCCATGTCGCTCTTCTTCCACGCCATCGACGTCCTCGACCTCTTCCCCCAGTACCGCCTCCACACCCCCGACGAGATCCTCAAGCGCAACCACGCGACCCGCTACGAGGTCGCCCGCGACGTCCTCATACAGCAGGTCATACAGGTCGTCACCGGCGCCGCCCTCGCCATCACCGAGCCCCCCGAGATGAAAGGCAAGTCCGACTATGACGTCGCCGTCTGGGCCACCCGCCTCCGCCTCGCCCAGCGCGCCGTACCCGGCCTGCTCTCCGCCCTCGGCCTCAACGCCACCGCCCTGTCCAAGAGCCTCTCCGTCTCCCACCCGCTGCTGGCCGGCGCCCTGGCCGGCGGCTACTACCCCGTCTCGGCCACCGCCCAGTCTGCTGCGCCGGGCTTTGCGCCCTGGGAGCTGGCCGTAGCCAAGCTCATCTACCACGTGCTCGTCCCGGGGTTGCAGTTCTTCGTCGCCGTCTTCATCCTGGATACGTGGCAGTACTTCCTCCACCGGTTGATGCACATGAACCGCTGGCTGTACAGTAAGTTCTCACGCGCCATCCCGTCTCGCCCGCCTTCTCGGCAAGCCCGCTGACTCGTCTCCTTGCAGCCACCTTCCACTCGCGACACCACCGGCTCTACGTGCCCTACGCCTACGGAGCGCTCTACAACCACCCTCTCGAGGGCTTCCTCCTCGACACCCTCGGCGCCGGCATCGGGTTCAAGGTCACCGGGATGACGGTGCGCCAGGGCACCTGCTTCTTCGCTTTCTCCACCATCAAGACGGTCGACGACCACTGCGGCTACAGCTTCCCCTGGGACCCGCTCCAGCTCATCACGAGCAACAACGCCGCCTACCACGACATCCACCACCAGACGTGGGGTATCAAGACAAACTTCTCCCAGCCCTTCTTCACCTTCTGGGACGGCCTGCTCAACACAAAGTACAAGGGCTCCCGGAGCAACCGTGTCGAGGATAAGAAGCGCGAGGCAAAGTCGAAATGAGATTCCCACCGACGAGGTCCCTCGAAGAAACAAACAAGCCAAACATAAACACGAAGACGACGTTGATGCCGCACATTCGGAATGTTCCCTCGCTCACCATCTCCTTTTCACACATCCTTTGCGGTGTTGTACAATCGCTACTTCATTTGCTCTCCCCCTATCGTCACCTCATCCGCCATGTCCCTTCGACGTGGACGTGGGCGGCGCGTTGCTTCTTGGATCATGACGCCGGGGGGCTGGTACACGGCCAGAGAGCGGGCTCCCCAACCTCCAAAACTAATGCTGTAATAATCCTGCGCCCTTTTCTCTTCTTTCTGAGCGCAGCACTTCTACCACAACCGTCCGAGGCCGAGGAAGTTGTCCATGGCCTGGGTGCAGCGCACGGCTTTTGTTCGACTGTGTATATTACGAGTGGTGGTTTCTTCCTTCTTACTTTCTACTTTTTTGTTGACGATCTTAAGGGGAGGGAGAGAGACACGTGCAATAGGAGCGACATCTGGCTGGCTGGTGTGCATGTCACATCATGGACCGGCGTAGCTTGGACTACTCTAATACAACATATCATCGCTGGCGGCTTGTGACTTCCGTGTGCCGGGAGTGCTCTTGGCCCTTCCTTGGTCTTGTCGTGCGCTGCGTGACCCTGGCTGGACTCGGGGACTTGTCAGGCCTTACGAAGCGATGGCACGCACGACGTCACTAGGCTCAACAACGAAGCGGGCGTGAGATGGCCGCGCTGGGCTTCCGATCTCCGGTCCTACGGCCTACGCACGATGAGGCGGCCTCGCACGGCGTGGCGACGAATCTCGCTGAGCCGGCGTGGTACGGCACGAATACGGGCACGAGCACGGTACGACGGGCGGTGAGATGGCCGAACGTGCGTCTGACGAGGGACACTCCATGACTGTACCTACACTACTGTATCTCGACCATCGCGGCAACCTCGACGTCGTGCATTGTGCCAATGCAACTCTGACGATGCTTCTTCTGTACGTGACCTGCACGTCAGCCGCAGTAGCAGGACCAGCACCAGCACCCGCATCAGCAGCAGCGGCAGGAGCGGCAGAGGCAGCGGTCCGAGCAGCTCGCAAGCTGCCCTCGCCGATTGCATGCTGCGGCCGAGACGCATCGCGGCGATAGGGCAGCGACGCGACGCGACGCGTATAATACGTACATGCCACCACGCAGACTGGGATGGACGTTGGTCGTCTGGCCGTGGCCCTGTCACGCATGTTTCGACAGCGGTGGTGGCGGTTTATGAAAGGGCACATGGGAGAAGGGCTCCGCGACGTTGGCAACACAGCAGTGGCCCGGCGCAGATGAAATCAGTACCGACGGACACCTGCCTGAGCCACGGAGGCTTGCATGCCTGCCGGTCGTACCAAGTACGGCCGAGCCCGTGTTGGCGGAGGCCTTCCGGGGACATGTCGTGCGACGTGGGGTGAGTGCCCGAAGCCGCACTCCTGGGACTCGGCCAAGCCCAAGTCGCTGCCCTGTGCGTCCTTGGCTGCGATTCAGCGGCTGGCCGGGAGGGGCAGCTGGTGCGATACACGACGTCGATGTCGACAACGACGACGCGGAGCCTGTGGAAGCGGGAGCGGCGGCCTGGACTGTACTCTATTTTTCGAACATGATCGCATTGGTTCAAGATGCAGTGAGCTGAGTGGGCGGGAGCGTCGCGCATGTCCCGTGCGGCGGCGTTTGGTCACTGATGAGAAGGGACTTGTCGCAGGCCAGGCGCGGTCGACAACGTGGTCCAGGCTTTCGCTTGGCCCCGTTGTCTTGTCGTCTCACCGGGCACCGGCCCGGCGCTCACGACAGCGGTAATCGTGCTGGGATCGGACAGACTGAGAGGGCTTCTGCGGCCATGTCGTGTGGCCCTAGAGCCAACAGTGACGTGGACTGGGCAAAGGCCAATCCAAGCTTTCAGCTGTTGCTGCACGCTAGTGCTCGGGACTGGAGCAGGCCGTTGGCAGTTGGGTTGCTTGCCGGCCGTGATACTGCATGCATGGACGGTTGTGCACTCTATGGATGCTGCTGCAAGTGCGCAACGCCCCCCGGCGGTGGTGGAGCGCTGGGCGGAGGTTGCTGGCTGCCTCTGACGCGGAGAAGCAGCTCCTGACCCACCACGGCCGCGTCTTGCCTGTGACAAGCAGAAGAGTCGCGGCGGTTGGTTGGCAGTCCACGTGGGCTCCCTGGGAATGGCTGGATGTGTTGGACAATGCCGCAGCGAGGGAGACACTGGGTCTCCAAGGGAGCATGGCGCCGTGCGACGCGACACTGCAGCAGGGTTGATGAGGCATGGCGGCACATCTCGCAACGACCGGGGCCGGTCTGGCGTTGCTTCTTTTCGTCTCTCCCGCATTGATGATGATGTGAGCACAACGGTGCGTTTCGTTCTGGGCCGCGACAACGTGGCTGGCCAGTGATGCCCAGAGTTGGTGGCCTGGCGCCGCTGCGTGCAGCATTCACGGCAAGTTACCCTCTGTCTGCGCCTTGACTCGGCCCCTGTACATACTATGTACATATGCACTGTTGCGCCTTGCTGTCCGTGCACGGCGTTGGACGCTGCCGCCGTCTGCGCGAGCATGTCACCGGCCACGGCCGCGCATTGACTACGGTGACGTTGGCAGGGCTCGGCCCGGCCGGCCGCAAGGTTTCGGCTTCGGGGTGCTTGAAGCTGGCCGGTAGACGCCGAAGCCACGCTCTTGGCTGGATTCGACAAAGCGGACGGAGGAGGGTCAAACAGAATGGAATGGACTCGTCAGATCGACAGGGCAGCCGGGCGGTGGACGGAACGGTCTGGACGAAGCGGGATGGGATGGAGTGCCACGACGGGCACTCACTGGCTGCGAGGCGACGCTGCAATGCGAAGAGACGCTTGGGATGCCCATTTCAGACCTGGAGCACATCAACAATCACCTGGGGGACGAGGGGGGGGGGGACCCTAGCCAGGATGCCAGGATGTCAAGACCCCCGTTTTCCACTGCAGCAGTATCCGCAGGCGCTAGCGAGGAGCCAGTGCTGAAGCGAGACGAGGAACGGGGGCGGGACGAGGATTGAGGGAGCAGGCCCCTGGCGGCGGTAAATAAGTAATCGTCCCAGCCCAGCCAGAGCGAGCAATGGACACGACAGGGTCCTGCGCTGTGCCGTTCTCGGGGCGATGGGGGCACCTGTTGCAAAGGGTTAACTGGCGCAAAGTGCGTGCGCGACCACGGGCTTTGTACCTTAGCCATGCCATGGCACGAGCTTCTGGGGCACTGACCCGTATGGATCTCGTCCTAGGAAAAAAGCCCCGAGGGCACAGCACATTGGGTAACGATGGGGTGATGAGCTGACGCGCTCGCATGCTTTCTGTCCTCGGCGGGATGAAGAAGAGCAGTCGAAGAAGCTGGTTGGCAAGGACGAACTGGGTGAGCGCGGGGCCTCAGGAACACTGGGCAGCCTTCAGGCACCCTGGCTGGCTGGCCAGGCACCCTCATCATCAGGGGAGCCAGGTCCAGCCAGACATGTCACAGCTGGGATGGAAGGAGGCAGGCAAGGCAGGCACGTCCTGCCCTCCCTGCGATGCGAGTGCTCGCTCGGTACTTTGCGGGCTGCTCCACCGCTAGGTACCACCTCCACCTCCACCTCCTGGTCCACCACCACCAGCACCTTTGCATCCACCCACCACCAAGACAAGCCAGCAGACACGCCCGTCCATCCATCCCATCCGTCCACTCGCCAACCTCACCGTGTCTCATCAGCGCCATGCCACGGCTGGTGGAGGCCATGGCACGGCCGCCAGACGAACGCCAGCCCCGTCGTCCAATCTTCACCCGCCGGCCCGGTGGGTGCACAGATGGCTCGACCCATCATCTCGTCGTCCCCGTCGTCGTCGCCGCCGCCCATAAGAATTGAAAAAAAAAAAAGCACTCTGCATTATACCGTTGCTTAGCACGAATCATTGCCCCGAGCGTCTTCTTCTTCTGCAGAAACAACGCACAGGCAGATGTACGTGCTCGTAACTCGCACGAGCCAAGCCCGCACTTACATCCTCCTTCGTGCGGAGGACACACATACGAGAACGGAACACTGCGTTGCGATAGACTTTCCATTGGTCCCGTCGCCGTCCTTGGCTTACACCAGCAATTCACCCGGATCGCCGGGCACCACGTTCAGCTCCACCGCGCCGTCACATCACCAGGCTCCTTGTCCAGCTGTGTTCGCTGGCTGGGCTGCCCGTTTCGGCGACGAGCTGGAGCAGCTGGACAGGCGCGCCATCCCCGACCTGGCCGGAAACTATTGCTGCGTGCCACAAAATTACCACGGAGCCCACGATACGATATATCCAGAACACGCCCAGCCCGGCCCCCCGTGCCCACCGTTCCATCCTTCTTCACCTTTGCCCTTCGTTGCTCGTCCTCTCGTCGACCCGGGCCGGTCCCAATCGCCTCACGACGGGGAGATACGCGGAGCCGTTCTCCACGCATCGACGTTCCGACGTCGACGCTCCCTCGCCCACTCGCTCGCCCCGGCATTGTCCGCCTCGTCCTCAGCTGGCCCGGCAGTGCGACTGCCACTCACTCACGGCCTGACTCTGCACCCTCGCAAGTGGAGGGAGACCCCTGGCAGCACACCGCCTGGCCTCCGCTGCCGGTTGTCGATCCAACATAGGCATTCAGCTGTCCCATACAGTACCTCCGGGAGCACTCACGGCCATACTCCGTACAGCTGGCCGGGGAGTTTGGACGGTCGCGGCGCCAACACGCACGAAATCAAAATCTCAAACGGCCCATCTCCACACAGCCAGCTGGTCCCTGTCGACGGCAAAACCGGGTTGACTCCTCCCATCGACCTTGAATCCTCGACTACTATTAAGCGCCCGGCTGCTGGTCTTCCTCGTTATCCTATCAATAGCTTCGCGGTGCATCCTGGCGCTTGCGGCCAATCCTCCCCCAACGCCCGCCCCCAATTGGCCAATCTCCGTTTCCGACCGACTGGCGCCGGCGCCTCGCAAAACATGCGACTGCGAGCTTGCGCCTCGGTGCTTCGCGAGCCGCTGTGATTGACCAATTCCATTTCTTGGGCGTCCGACTGCGGCAAGACCAAGTCCTCCGTCGCTCGGCCAGGTGTCGCGCGCGCCCTGCGTCTGCATCGGCGCACGAGTTAGCCGCCCGGGCGAAGCGAAGCGACAGGCGGAACAAGCGCGCCGCCGGCCAAGCCAACGCTGCGCTGTGCTGTGCTGTGCTGTGCTGCGCGGAGGGTGGCTCTCTTATACGTGGCGGCACACAACCATAGGCACGCCGCCCGAGTATTTACTTGCCGCCGGCCGCCCTTGCGTCGCCATGGATCCCACGACGACCCTGATTACTTTTCTGCTGTAAGTCTGAGAGTCCCTTTTTTTCAGTTTCAATATTTCGACTTGGTTTTGGCCGTGCACCAATTTTCTTTGCGCCTTTATTTCGCCCTCATTCCTGTCGCTGCCGCCCCCTTTGCAGCCTCTTCACCCGCCTCACCCGCCTCACCTCACCCGCCTCACCTGCCTCACCTGCCACGCGGAGCTCTTCAGCGGGCGTCGCCCTGTCTCACCGGCGCAAGACCATTGGCCTCGGCGGGGGCACTGGCCATTCCTCAGGCACGTCAGCGTCGCGGCAATATCCTGTGCCGACACATGTGCTGCGCTGGTATGGGATTTTGATTCTCACTCTCATTTTCACGTTCACCGTTTTGCTTTGTCGCTGCTGCAGGGACCCTGTAATTTGCGCCTGCGCTGCCGCCGGGCACAGGGCTGAGGGCGGGCGAATCTTGTGTCCATACCGGTGCTAGCCCGCGATGCAGCTAGCGGCCGGCCCTGACAGCTCATCGTCGCCTCGGCCACGCCTATAGGCCTGCCCCTGACATGAGCCGTGATATGAGCTGACACGCCTGTCCTCTAGTCAAACGGATCCTTCGGTCCAGTCTGTCCAGCTCATTGGCTCTTGGGACAACTTTTCCACGTGTTACACCATGAGACGGGATGTCCGACGCGGCCGCGGTCAATGGCGAGGCTGTTATTCCTTCAAGGATATTGTTTGCGACGACGTCGCCGCGACCGCTGCGCCCAGGAATGGGGGACTCAAGATGGGCGCCACCTACTACTACTATGTAAGAGCTCTGCCTCCTCCTCGCCGCCATGACCGCCGTGACCCCCCGACCCCTGCTGACAGGCCCTTCCTTGTGCTGCCTGCAGTACGAGCTCGACGGTTCAACTGAGACTCACGATCCCGCCGAGCCTTGGACCACGGCTTGCCCGTCCCTGCCGGGGCAGACGGTCAATACCCTCATCGTCCCCGTCGAGCAAAGCCTGCGCCAACGCAGTGCCTCTCTCACCTCTGTGCGCCAGGAGAGCTTCAGGACCATGGACCCCGATGCCAAGTTCGCCACGCCGCGCCCTGCCCCTGCTCCTGTCATGGAATCAACAGCTCGCCGCCTCGGGTCGGCCTCGACCCTCCTCCAGAAGCGCCCCTGCACACGCTCGCCCTCTCCTGCCCCTTCGTGGAAGCGCTTCTTCACGCGGAGACTAGGCCAACGAGACGCTGATCGGTCGCCCACACGAGGTCAGACCGCCGACAGCAGCGAGCCTGTCGAGGGCACCTCCCTCCTCCAGGACTCACCAGCCCACACGCGCAGCTCTACGCCCTCGGAGGGAGCACGCACCAGGGACCTGTCGCCCGAGTCTTTGCGGCGTTTCCTGTCCGACGGCACTCCAACTCACGTCGAAGCCGTGCCCCACCAGCCAACGACGCTATCTATTCCTGACGAGATCGCAGAGGATGTCGATGATGACGACAACTTCGCTACGTCTGCCATCTCTGAGAACCAAGTCTACGCGACGTCTCTGTCTCCACCTCCCTTCCAACGTTCAGCATCTGCCGACACCATCCCAAGAGCAGCGTCCAACTTGAGCTCAATCACCCTCACGGCCGGTCAGCCCTTTGACCAAAAGCTACCAGATGATGGTCAAGCGGATGGCAACCAAGCGGAACAGCCGGAGTCGCAACGGTCTCTCCCGAAACTCGAGACCAACGCGAAGCCCCGCTGGTCGATATCGGCAACTTCCAGCCTGCTGGCAACTCCGATTTCTCCCCAGCTGGTGGCCGATGATCCTCCATCCTTTTACGATTCCAACGACGAAGATGATGACGTTGCATCCACCATTGAAGCAGACAACTTTGCACATCAAGCTGTCATTGATGCACCCTTTTCGAGTGAGGTCTTCCGAGGATACAGCCTCCCGCGCCAAAGCGACGAGGAGAAGAGCGTGGCTGCGCCCAGGCCTGCTATAAAGTCATTCAATTCCCCGCAACTTCTCCCCAGAGCCGACACGAGGAACGATCAAGTCAGCGGAACCAACTTGCTGGGCACACATATCGACACAGGCCTGGACGACTTTGTCAGTGAGATGGGATGGATTGTGGACGCCATCAGGTGCAAAGAGACACATTAGCAAGGCTTTTGCCCGTGCACCTACACCTAAACATTCCCTCGCGTCGCCCTACCCTCGAGTCGCATTCAGGGCCACGCGTCCGACGATTTCAACGCAAACATCTACTCCAGCACGATCCGCCCCACACGTGCCATTTCCTTACATTTCACGGGCGCGCCCGCGCAGGGCATTGAATGGAAAAGAGGCCACGAATTTTGATACCCATGTATTTTTTCAGAACACGCTTTGCTGCAGGCAGGATATTATAGACCAGGAGATAGAAGATGCTGCAGCCCTCCCTTGTCGTTGGACGAGCCGCGTTTGGGAGCTAGAAGGCGTACACGGGATCTTGAGATGCAGAGTTGTCACCCACAAAGCGCAAGGGGATCTCAGACATTTGGCATTTTGTGCTGATTTCGCTGTCCATGCACAGAGTTGTAGAAGACGACGGCAATTGGACGACCCAAGACGACTATCTGACGTTTGTGTATGTGTGTGAAAACCCATGACGCGGTGCAACTGTTCGTAGTACGTACTCGATAACAACATGAGGACTGGTCTCACGGTTATCTTGGCTGGCATTCGGCGCCTTGTCGCTGCCGGAGCGGCGCAGGCAATGGGGTATCTAATCTACTCGTACATCTACACGCGGTCCACGCCGCCCGGCTTATCCGCACACCATGCCTACCGGCTCATGGCGTATCGTGAAGCGCCAATGCTACCAGCGACGTGCAGCCAACCTGAGCCTTGCCTCCCTTGAAAGCCTCATTTCCCGTTCGGGGACGGGCCTAGTACGACATGCCACTATTGTGCCGCGACGCTGGCCTTCGGCGGTGTGGTGGCCGCGGCTGCGGCCGCTGCCGGCGCTGGAGGCTGCTGCGCCTGACCCGGACCCTGATCCGGCGCCGCTGGTGCGGGAGCTTGAGCAGGAGCGGTGGGCGCTTGGGCAGCGGGCTGCTGCTGGGGTTGGCTTGGCGGCGGCGGCGATTGCTGGAGTGCTTGCTGTGTCGGCTGCGGTGCGGGCTGCTGCTGTACGGGCTGCCGTGGTGGTTGAGCCGGGGGTTGCGCTGCCGCCGCTGGCGGATTGCTCGGCTGCTGGGGCGCTGGCGGCGCTGGCGGTGCTTGAGATACTGGCTTGTGGATTATGGATGAAGGGGCGGGTGCGGCGACCGGTGCGACAGCTGGTGTGGTAGCCGGTGTGGCAGTGAGTGTAGTAGTAGAGACCTGAGGTGGTGCGCTTGATGGCGGTCCAGGGGTCGGGGCAGTCGCCTTCTCTTCGGCGGGCTTCGCCGCGTTGGATTGTCTCTTCGCCTCCTCATCTGCTTCTCTCTTCTTCTTCTCTTCCTCGGCTTCCTTCTTTCGCTTGTCGTCCTCGGCCTGCTTCTTCTTCTTCTCCTCTTCGGCCTCCTTCTCCCGCTGCCGCTTCTCCTCGAGCCTCTTCGCGCGCTCTTCCTCAGTCTCGGGCTTGAGGAACCTCTCCGGGACGCCGCGGGCGGCGAGGGCCCCGCTGCCGACCCAGGCGCCAAGCTCACGGCTGAAGTGATAGTCGCCCTTGCTGAGGCGCTGGATCTCGCGGTAGGCAGCGGCGTTGTAATAGGGCAGGCCAGTCTTGGGGTCGCGGTAGCGCGCGGGCTGGTTGGTGATGACGCAGACAGGGGCCGGCGCGGGTTCTGATGCGGGCAGGTCAGTGGACGGCTGTGGCAGGGGCAAGGACAGGCATAGTAGGGGAGAGCGTACTGGAGAGCTTGGTCATCTTGCGGCCAAAGAGAATCTGGGTCTGCACCGCCTTGTCGCGGATGGCGTTGAGGTCAAAGTTTTGGTAGATGATGGCGTTGCGCGCCGTGGTCGAGCTGCGGGCTGGCTCGGTAGGCTGCGGGCCATCCGCAAGTTGAGGAATATCCGTAGATTGAGGCATATCCGTAGATTGAGGAACACCCGTAGATTGAGGAACATTCGTAGAGTGAGGAACATCCGTAGACTGACGAACTCGCGCAGACTGAGAAACTCCCGTAGACTGAGGAGCATCCGCAGACTGAGAAACATCTGTAGACTGTAGAGCCTCCATGGACGGAGGAGCGTCTGGCGAGTGAAGAGTGGCAGACTTCGCGGCAGGTGTGGCATCACTGTCGATCGGCACGAGATGCGTGTCGTGCAGAAGAGGCTGGGGTTCAGGGGCAGCAGCTTGCGGAAGTGCCGGTGGGACAGCGACAGCCTGCGCAAGCGGAGCTTGCAGGCACGGAGGAGCAGACTGCGGTGAGGTATTCGGCGGTGCGAGGACGTTGGACTTGGGGATGTCTGACGGTGGAAGGCCGCCGTTCATGCCGATGCCCAGGGGTGGCGCCAGGATCGGAGCGGCCAGGACACCGGACGGTCTGGCATCCGCCGGCCGTGACAGGCCTGCGGGCGACGCTAACGGACTCGGGCTCCGTATCGGGGGAGGAGGTGCCGGTGCTGCGAGCCCACTCGGTGGTGCGGTCGAGTTGACCTGAGGCGGAGGTGGCGGAGGAGGCATCGCCATGAGCGGCCGGGAAGGTTCTTCTTGCTTTGGAACCGGTTCGGCGGCCGCAGCGGTAGGCTTGTCTTCGTTGCCGGCGGAAACCGCTGGAGGTGGCTGCAACTCAGGAGACACTGGCTGGCCGCTCATGTCGGTATCGCCTTGTGTGGCAGTGGGCGCGGCTGCTGGGGAGGTGTTTGCAGCGTCGGCCGAAGGTTCGGTCTTGGTCGGCGGAGCATCCGTGGCCGGGGCGGCTGTGGCATTCCCTTTGTCCTCGCTCGTCTCTTCTGCAGCCTGTGCCGTCGTGGCCTGCTCGTCGCCGTCCTTGCCCTTGGCCGCCTTGCCCTTGAGCCCCTTGTCCATCTTTTCCCTCTTCTTCTTGGGTTTCTCTTCCACCATTGTGACGTGCTGGCCGAGAGCGTCTTTCCACTCTCTCACGCCACTCCAGAACGTGATGACCGGCCCCTTCAGCGTCCTGTTGTTGAGCGCCGCAAGCTTCGCCTTGCGTTCCTCCTCGCGCTGCTTCTCTGCCTCCTCCCAGCGGTTCAGGCTCTTGCTGTTGCGCTTCTCGACGATGGCCGCTTCGGCTAGGCGCTGCTCCTGCGTCATGGGGGGCTTCTTCATCGCCTCGAGCTTGGCCGCCTTTCTCTGCATCTGCTCGACTTGCTTGAGGCGCCGCTCCTCGCGCTCAACCATCTGCTGGTGCAGCTGCTCCTTGGAGATGCGCGTGGTCTTGCGAGACGAGGCGCGCGTCGGCATGTCGGCGGGCGACGGGAGCCAGGACGTGCGCTCCGACTTCTTCTTTGGTCTCGGTGCCGGGGCGGCGGCCGGGCTGGCGTCGATGCGGACCTTCTTGCGGAACTTGACGGGGATGGCCTCCTGCGCCTTTCGCTTGCGCTGGGCGAGGCGCTTCTCCTTTGCCTGGCGCTCAAGCTCTTTCTCGCCCTCGAGGTCGTCGTCGTTCTTCTCGTCGTCCTCGTCGTCGGAAGACGAGTCCATCTGCACGTCGGAGCCATCGGCGTCGACATCCGAGAAGCCCTGGTCGTTCTCGTCCTCGGCGAAGAGGAGCTCGAGGTCTGAGTCGGGTTCCTCGTTGGCCAGCATCGACTTCATGCGGTTGCCAGCCGTGGAGCGGCGCTGGCGCGTCGTGGCGAGCCATTCTGTGTTGTCCAGGCTCTGGCTGCTGTCGCTGGCGTCGCTGTCGGCATCGCTGTCGGAGGCGGGCGACGCGCGCGACTCGTCCCTGTCGGACGCTTTCGACTCCAGGCTCATGATGGCGGCAGGTGTCGCTGGCCCGGGTAAGCGTGTCGCATCCCCGTTGCACGTCGATTCATCGACGGTCGTGGTTGGGATTGGGGAAGGACGAGGCTCTGGGTGGGTGGATTGGTGGTTGCGGGAGGGAGACGCGTTTTACGGCGAGGGGCCCCCCCCGAGCATTCGGGAGCTGGAAATTTTTGAGGCGCTGCTTGGGTGCGGGCAGGCTTCAGGTGACATCACGCGCTGTGGCAGCGCCGCCACACCAGCCTACTAACTTCCAAGTTGCTAACGCAACAGCTGCCTTCCGCAAAGAATCTGCAATGAACATATGTGTTGAAAAACAAAAAAGAGTTCGCTGACTCTATAGTATATATGTTGCTAGCCTACAAAGCCATAATTCCAAGGCCGCTCTCGCTCCGGCTGTTGTGTCTATACTATCTTCATGAGTGTTGTGATGTGATGCCGCCTGAAAATCCAACGCCCGCACGCTGCCCTGTACACCAAATTCGAACCCTGCGCAGAAAACAGAAAAGACAACCCCCGCCGCACAAAAGAAAGGCCAAGGCTATACTATTCGAATACCGGGTTGAAAGGCAATGCTTCCCATTCGCCTTCGGCTATGCGGATGCGCATCATTGTCCAGCACCACATGACTATTCCGGCAAACTCTTGAGCATCCAATACTTCTGCCCAAAAGACGAGATTGATGGTGTGTCCGACTCGCAAGATATGCTATATCTCGTCTGGTGAGAACCTGCCCCCCTTGGCCAGGGTTCGGTCCTTGCAAGCGCCCGTCCAACTGCGATGCCGACAAGGTTGCGCCCCGCTGGGCGCGCCTCGCGTTCCCGGTGTTTCCGCCGCCTGCTCGCTCGTGCCCGTCGCTGTCGCAGTGACCCGGGGCGGCGTTATCGTCGTCATCGTGCCGGGCTGCGCGGTGCCCGAGGTGCTTTCCGCTGGGTCCCAACAGCCCCAAAACTTGCCCGGTGTCTCGCAGGTGCTTGTGGATGTGGCAGTCGTGGCAGTCGTGGTTGATGTCGTGGTGACAACAGGGGCCGTCGTGGTTGTCTTGTCTTTGCACCAGAACCAGCCAGGCGTCTCGCAGGTCGAGGTAGATGACGTGGACGTGGACGTCGACGACGACGTTGTCGCAGTTGCTGTGCCTGTCGTCTCGTCAAGGCACCCCCACCACCCTGGCGTCTTGCAAGTTGAAGTGCGAGTGCGAGTCCGCGTCGAGGTGCTTGACTGGCTCGTCGTCGTGCTCTCAGTCCCATTGCTCTCATACATCTTCCATGGGGCGCAGTCGCGGCATTCGGGGGTGAAGTTGCATTCGGGAACGTCGTCGTACTTCAGAATCACGTCTGAGATGACGGCACGAATCTTGTGTGTGCCAATGCCAACTCGCCACCCTTTGTCCGCCACCACGTCCCAGACACACTCGCGGCCGGTGTGACAAGCCGTCTCTAGGGCGTAGCCGGCAAATGAGCAAGAAGCAGTGGCGCCGTTACAAGTGCCGATGTAGATGGGGTCCGCAGTATGGCCAAAGTGGAACGACCCCGTGTGCTCGCGTGTCTGAGGCGCCTTCGGGTCGGAGCCGGGAGGGACGGGAAGACCTAGGCGAGATGCAGCAAGAGCCTCGGGTACGGCCTCAAAGGTAACGGCCGGCAAGCCGTACGTCAAGCCAAGAAGTGACGTGACTGCACCGCCCAACGAGTGGCCCGTCAACCACACGACTGCATCTGGATACAGCTCGGTGACGTTGGAGAAGAGCTCCCGGGCGGCAGCATAGTAGCGGTTCTCCTCGCGCAGCTCCTGAGTGACGCAGGTGTTGTTGCATGAGTATGTGCCCGTGGCACAGTCGCAGACCTTGTGCCACGTCCACTGGCCTTGCTGCGCGCAGCAACAACTGAAGAAGAGATTATCGTTAATCTTGTCGTTCGTCGTTGTGCCATCGCCGTCGAACACGGCGGGAGTGGTGCCCTTGAGGCCGATGACGATGGTCGAGTTGGTTTCGTCGGCGAAGACGTGGCCCCGGAGCCCATCGGTCTGCCACCCGAAATCGACGCTGCGGTTGAACGGCTGGCCAACCTCCTCCCAGTCTGCGCCATCTTCGTCCTCGACATAGGCGTCGGCCGTCATGTATGCCAAGCTCAGGACCGTGTTCTTGTCAGTGACATCGGGCGTCGGGACCTCATCCATAGTCCAGGCAGACGCATCGAGGACGGCCGCGTATCCGTCGTGGCGAGCCCGAGCGACCATGGCATCTACCACGGCAGGTCGCCGGTCCACGAGGCGCTCTATCGTATGCGGCCTGCTCTTGGCCCTGAGATGTGTCAAGTCGTGCTCTGGATAGTCGTCTTCGGCGGCCAAGAAGACGCGGGGTGACGAGTCGTCGCGGCCGACGACGTCTCGCTTGCGGTGCAGTCGCGGGTGGCGGTCGGTGCCATGGTGGTAGATGTGTCGTAGCGTAAAGGTGTGTTCTGCCGGGCGCGGAGGCTCGGGCCGCGGGACAAAGCCCGGAGAAGGGGGTAGGAACACGTCCTGGTTGACGAGACGGTGTTGATCGGCCGAGGCGGCAGCGGGAGTGGCCGCGGCCAGGAAGGATAACAAGAGAGCGGCGGTGACTCTGCCCGCGGAGGCGCAGCCGAAGCCGGAGCCCGTCATGGCGGTAACAGTCTGTGCGATGCAGCCGCGCTCAAATAGCAAAAGGGTGTCTACATGAGCGATGCAGGAGAGGTGAAGGAGAGGGAGGGAGTTGGTGCGGCTTCGTCCTGGAGTTGTTGAGGGCGGCAGGGTGATGTTGTCATGCATCCACGGCTTATTAGGCGGGCACGCGGCCGACTGTCGTCAGCGGAGGCTCATGGCGTTGAGGTATCTGGCCACCCTCTGGCCGGCAGATGGAAGCGCAACAGTTACTCGGCAGCAGGTCTGAGAGTACTGCAGCAGCGTTGCAGGGCGGCCAAAGGACCGACTCCCGGACCCGCCACTATCAGAACTGCTAAGATAGCCGACTGGGGCAATCTGGAGCTACCTCGCCCTTCTAGCGTAGCATCGACGTCCCAGGGGCCATGTGACCCACTGTTCGGGCCTTGTCTCTGTGGGATCAAATGGTGACGGGGGGCTTGGGGGAGAACTGGAAGGGGACGGGAGGCGGGGCCGGCTTCGTCCCGTTCAGGTGACCGCCCAGGCTGCCCCGACGCCCCCCCAGCGCATTGCAGTGCCTGGCACAGGTGCTGTGCCGTGCCTGCGCTGCTGCAGCGCTGGAGCTTGTGCCCCCCGCCTGCTGGCGCCGGCCGGGCAGCTTTCCGCAGCGGAGCTCCACTCGGTGCGCGCACGCCCAAACGCACGCACGCTCGCTCGCTGGCGCGTCTCCCCAAAGTGGTGGCGCGTGCGACGTGTGCGATGGGAGCTCTGGACAATTGATGCGCCTCAAATTTATCCACCCACCACTTTAACTCCGCCTGCGCCCACCTGCTCGAGAGCTCCTCGTCGACACCCATCGCAATCGCCAACATACTGCGACGGGCGCTTCTCTCGGCCCCTCGTCAAAATGACTGCAATGTGAGTCTAGAGCAAAAATCAAATCAAATCCCTCTCCTTGGCGCTGTCCGCGCAAGGGCGCCGCTCCAGGACGCCGCGCGCCCTGACAGCTGGCGAGGCCTCGTTTGGCCTTCATCTGTCACGGCCCAAAGCTGACGCCACGCGTACAGGGAGAGCTTCGACAGCATCTACCTTGACCTCTCCAAGGAGAGCGGCAAGTGTAGGTTTGCCGAGACGGGCTTCGGCTGGAAGCCGTCGGGCGGCGGCGAGACATTCACCCTCGATCACAGCAACATTGGCGGCGCGCAATGGAGTCGTGCCTCCAAGGGCTACGAGGTCCGCATCCTCCAGCGCAACTCGGGCATCATCCAGCTCGACGGCTTTCAGCAGGAGGACTACGAGCGCCTGAGCAAGGTCTTCAAGAACTGGTACAGCACCGTTCTCGAGTCCAAGGAGCACGCCCTGCGAGGCTGGAACTGGGGCAAGGCCGAGTTCTCCAAGGCCGAGCTCACGTTCAGCGTCCAGAACAAGCCTGCCTTCGAGCTGCCGTACTCCGAGATCGGAAACACAAACCTCGCCGGCCGGAATGAGGTCGCCGTCGAAATGTCGCTGCCGCAGGACGCCAACGACACCGGCACGGACGGCCAGGGCGGCGCTCGCGGCAAGGGAAAGAAGGCCGGCGCTGGTAGGGACCAGCTGGTTGAGATGCGCTTCTACGTCCCCGGCACAACCACCAAGAAGGAGACCGAGGGCGAGGACGGCGCTAGCGGCGACGAAGGAGAGGAGCAGAACGCTGCCACTCTCTTCTACGATACCCTCATCGAAAAAGCGGAGATTGGCGAGATGGCTGGTGACACCATCGCCACCTTTCTCGACGTGCTTCACCTTACCCCAAGGTTTGTCCCCTCTTGCCCTCAATCGCCATCAGAAGGCGTTTGCTGACCGAACAACCCCACAGAGGACGGTTCGACATCGACATGTACGAAGCTTCGTTCCGACTCCGCGGAAAGACCTACGACTACAAGATCCAGTACGACGCCATCAAGAAGTTCATGGTGCTGCCCAAGCCCGACGACATGCACTGCATGCTGTGTATTGGCCTGGATCCGCCGCTGCGCCAGGGCCAGACCCGGTATCCCTTCGTCGTCATGCAGTTTAAGAAGGACGAGGAGGTGACTATCGACCTCAACCTGGACGAGAGCGAGTTGCAGAGCAAGTACAAAGACAAGCTGGACGCACATTACGAGGAGCCTCTTCACCATGTCGTGGCCAAGATCTTCAGGGGCCTGGCCAACAAGAAGATTTCGTCTCCGGCCAAGGACTTTATTACGTATGCTCCTATCCCATCTACGCACATTGTGCTCTGCGCGTGCAGTTTGCTGACGCAGTCATCACAGCCACCGAAGCCAGTACGGCATCAAGTGCTCCATCAAGGCCAGCGAGGGCTTCCTGTATTGTCTGGAGAAGGCCTTCATGTTCGTCCCCAAGCCGGCGACGTACATAGCCTACGAACAGACGCAGTCGGTCACCTTCTCGCGAGTGGGCGGCGCCGTGTCCACGCTGTCCACGTTTGACATCACCGTGCTCATGAAGAACGGCGCGGGCTCTTCGCAGTTCAGCAACATTAACCGTGAAGACCTCAAGGCGCTCGAGGCCTTCTTCAAGCTCAAGGGTCTGCGGGTTAAGAACGAGATCGACGAGGACGCCAACATGCTGGCCGCGGCGCTGCGCGAGCAGGACATGGACGAGTCGGACGACGAGGTGGTGGCCGGCAAGGCTGACCGCGGCTCCGCCGACGAGGACGAGGAGAGTGTCGACGAGGACTTCCGCGCCGACAGCGACAGCGACGTCGCTGAGGAATACGACAGCGCGCACGAGAGCTCCGGCTCCGGCAGCGCGAGCGACGCAGAGAGCGGCGTCGACGACGACGAAGACGAGGGCATGGACGACGAGGAGGAAGAGGACGAGCGGCCCAAGAAGAAGAAGAAGACGGGCTAGGCTCGCTCGGCTCAGCTCCGAGCACAGAGAGGACGAAGAAGAGCGGGGGGCGGGAACGTTCGTAGCGGAACGTTTTCGTCCGGCAGATGCTCGTTTTGGCAGCGCTGGATATGAATGGATGGATGGATGGATGGAGGGGATGCGATGGCATTCGACAAGGGGGCGAAACTTACGAGCTTTTGACGGCGTTTAGGGCTGGTTTCTGAGAGTGACGAGGGCTGTCTTGCTTGAGACTTGCCTTGCCGTACCTGTACCTGTGTAATCGATAGCTGTGCATGTAGTTGTACCAACCCCCGAACAGAGACTACTAGGTATGAGCTTTGACGAGCGTTTGGCATGGCGCCTTAAGCGAGACGCTCCATCACAAGGGCCGAGCGAGGCAACCTCCCGCACTGCCGGGTTTCAGGAAGAGCCCGCTGGACGATTTCGTGATAACCCCGTGGCCGCTGGGGCGGGAGTGAGCACACCCATGGCGGCTGCGGCGACAGCATCACTCACGTTGCCGCATGCACCAAACATCTCGTTTCTTGGTGTCGATCGAATCCATTTGTGCCTATCGAGTACCGTTGCCAGGCCTAGCTAGGTCGACGCGTAAATCTCGGTGTCGCCCCTATATCTCTGATCTACATTGTCTGTCTCTTGCGGTTGGTGCCCAAGCTACGCCCTCAAGAGAGTGAGTGCAGGACAAACAACGCTGTTGCACTGCGTGTGTGGGAATCCTCTTCTCCTTTTCCAACCCCTGAGCCACCCGACTTTTGTGTAGCAACCACCGTTCTTCTCCGAGCTGGCTGCTCGACAAACCAAGAGAAACAGCGTGCAGCAATTCTGTCCGTTTTGCGCCGTCTAATTCCGCAAGACCCAATTCCCGTCTTTCATAGAAGAAAATCCCGCCAATAACGCCCTTAACGAGAGACAGAAGCGTATACATAACCACGCGGTCCGTGCGCTGCCATACAACACGCCTTGCTGCACTGGTGCACGTGCATGCCAGACGTGCCACATGCGGTGCAAATCTCATGCCATCTATAGGCGCAGAAATCCGGAACCAAAAAAAGGAAAAAAAAGCAGGCTGTCGTGTTGAGCATGTGCAAGTTCAAGTTTATCTTGTTGTAGGAAAACAAACGACTGTGGTGTGGCGCTAAACGGCTGTAGCATCGCTAGGCGCAGCGTGTATATGGGACACTGATCGATGTCAGATTTGGTCGGCGTTGTTCGCCTTCACATAAGCCCGCGGAAACAAGGCGTATTGTCCCACGGGCGGTGGCGTTTGGGTGCTCAGACTCGTGGTTCTGGCGCGCCCTCTCCGCATCCGCGGCAGGTCAGGTGACCGTCCAGGGCCTGGCTCGTCGACGACATGCGACTCGCTTGCGTGGCTCTTGTGCTGCACTCTCCTGGAATTGGTCGTCGTGGCGAACCCGACGAGCTCCGGAACGACATCGCCGGTTCCCGCGCTGCTTGGGTCGTGCTCGTCTTCTGCATGCATCTTGTCGGCCAAGTTGACCGCCGGCAACGGCTCCGACTCGTCGGTCCAGACGCCTGCCATTTTGTTCAGAGACGTGCTGCTCGCCGTGTGGCGCGTCAGTGTTGTCCACGAAGAAGCCGTCGACATGTGCCGTTTTCCGGTCGAGTTGGACCGCGAGGTCGAGTCCGTCGTAGTCGTTGACGTGCTGGATCGCTGATAGAATGGCGTCGGCTTCATGTTCGCATGGATGCCCTCGTCAAAGAAAGCCGCCTGGAAGAGCGGGACTTGGTACTCGTCGTACTCTCCGTTGGTGTGTTTTTCAGCCTCCTTCATCAGCATTTGCTGCTGATAGTCGCCGGGAATGAGCAAAGACGGCGAGAGGGTGAACCCGTGGGATTCTTTGAAGCTTGATGCATACGACGCGCGGTTGCCAGTCCTCAGATCCAGGTGTCGAACGCTCTTCCTGTCTCCCTTGGGCAAAGAAAAGTTATTTGTCACGGCCGCATGCGACGTGGGCGTCACGGCTTCGTGACCCAGTACGGCCGAGGTCTGACTGGCAGGACTCAGGCCCGGCAGGTCCTGGGGGGTCGGCGAGAGGAGCGAGGGGTGCGATTGCGCGAGGCCAGAACCTCTCATCTCGCCCAGCTCCTTATCCATGAACGAATGTGTCGGAGGAGAGTTGTTGTCTCGGGCAGTCTCCAGTGAAGGTCGTCCCCATTCATAGTTGCAATCTGCCTCTGCCTCGTGCTCGTAGCAGTAGTCGATGTCGTCCTCCCAGCGCTCCAGGAACATGTCGAACTCTGATCCCGCTGCCCCCCCCGCCTCCGATCCGGCAACCCCATGCGCGACAGGGCGTTCAAATCGGCCAAGTGTTTCCGACGCGCCGCTCATTGGCCTCTGTGACTCCGCCAGCGACCGCAGCATGGGAACTGAATGACTTCCTCGGAGCGAGGAATTGTTGCTGGCCAGGCTAAGGCGAGATCGGCGAGAGACGCCAAAATGCTCTTCCTCCTCGGGCACATCTGGCAACGCGGATAGGATCGGATCGTACGACCCCTGAACCGGAGAGGTCAGAGGCCAAGCCATATCGTATGCCTCGCCAAGTACAGGAGACGACGCTCCGTCCTCGACGAAGGGTACGTGTTCATGATGGACCGACGTGGCGGTGGGCAGATGGTCTGCGGAGCTGAAGGGAGGAAAGGGCTGCGGGCGACGGAAGCCAGCAGCCGTCTGCGGACGGTCAACAAGTGTCGACGTTACACTCTCGTGAGGCTCTGGGTAGTTGGACTGGCGGCTGGAAACGCGCGGCGGGACCGGCGGGACCGCAGAAGCAAAACTGGTTTCAACGGGCGAACGTGGGGGCCGCACAGGGGCCCGCGGAGGGCTTTTGCGAAGATGCTCCCGTGAGCGCGAATGCTTGACTAGCCGTCGAGGCCCGGGCACTGGAGCCGGCTGGCGAGGAAACGATGACTGCTGGGGCGTCGTGGCATCGTAGTGACCGTCATCTGCCTCGTCTATGGAATCCGTTGACACAGCGTACTGGCTGCGGAATTCTGCCATTGGGCCATCCCCGGCAGTGGGCACGCTGGTTGAAGCGTGGGCTGGGACGGGAGGAAAATCTGCGGTGGGGTCTACCACGTACGCTGCCTGGGCATCGTGAGCAGCTTGCTTCCGTTGTCTGTGAGCCACGTGCTGGAAGTTGAAAGGACCGGATATTTGCAGCTTCTTCTGAATTGCCTCGTCTCTAGAGGGCTTCCGGCGAGAAAAGATGGCCGGGATAATGGAGTCCTTGGTCCCGACTCCAGTCGTGTCGACCGGTCCGTCGACCGAGTATATCGAGCTTGCAGATGAGCTGTGAGAGCTGCTTTCCCGCTTCGACTTGCCCCTTCGGTGAAACAGATTTTTGCTGAAGTTGGAAACGCTCTCAGCGCGGTCGCGAGACGGGGTGCTGCTGCTATCGTTGGACCGAATTGACGTCCGGCGGGCGATGAAATGGTTCTCGAGGGCGATCTCCCACGGCGGCCGGTCGATGGCATCAATCGCACCCACCGAGGCTAGTGATGACGACTCCGACGAGGCGGCACGATGGCCATGCTGTCGGTGTAATCGCGATACCCGCTTCATCTGCTTGTTCGAGTTTCGTAACCTCTCGGGCGAGGAGGGACCGTCGGCTGCTGCATTCAGAAACTGGGCCACGCTCGCACTCGAAAGCTGTTCCGTGGAGGATGGACCGGAGGGCTGTGTGGTAGCTCGCTGAGGAGGAGCAGATGGGCGAGATTTAGGAGGGTCCTTTTTGTCTCGTTTGACGGGCTGTGTGGGTACTCCAGTGTAGTACCCCGAGTACAGGGACAAGGACGATGCAGTGATCATGGTTTCCCGGTGGAGCGGCAGAGGGCGACGACAAGTCGTGCCCTCCGGATCATTGGCAGTGGTCCAGGTCCAACGACGAGGCCGGAATTGCTCCCCTGATCTGCAAGCCGGCGCAAGATGGACGTGAAACCCCAAAAAGGGCCGTTGTTCGAAGATCGCAACAGTCGACACGGAGCAAGCAAGGTACGGGGACCTGCTGTGGGGGGGGTTTTTGAGGGCCAGCGCCGGCCAGCACTGATATTATAATGAGACGGCCGGGGAGCCGCGAGAGATTTGGGTGCAATCTTGGGGGCCACGAGAGAGCACCGAGCAAGGATTTGGCAGACACCCCGGCCCGGGCGAGGGCAAGGGCAGGTACTCTGGGGTGGGAGGGGGCACAGGTGTCCGGGGTGCAAAGTGTGTGTTTGCTGGTGGGCTAGGGGAGAACGACCTCGGATCCGGGGGTCGAGCAGGGCCGATGCCTGTGATAGTTTAGACGGAGGCGATTGGGTGGTCGACCGTCTCAATGCAAGGCGTCGTACGGCATGTGCCCTCTGGCGCATATACGAAGCCCAGTGGGCGGTGGCCATGAAGCAGTGATGGAGTTCAGCTTGCGTGCGAAGCAGCCAACGTGGAACGATCTGGTGGATGTTGCCGGGACGAGGGCCCGATGCTTGTAAGTGCGAGGAGCACTGACGGAGGCGTTCTTGACTGGGTCAAAGATTACCCAAAAAAAAAACAGGCGGCTGAGTGGGACGACGGCGACGACGACGACTGCAGTCTCCGTCTAAGCACAGGCGTCGTCCCGCGGAGTCGGAACGGCTCTTGGTGCGGCTGCGGCTGCGCCTGCGTGGGTGTCTCAGACAGCTTCTGGGGCTGTTGGCGTGTCCTAACGGACGAGCTAGCCGTCAAGGCCGGTGAACGGTGGGAGGCCCGGCGGGAGACTTGTCGACGGGACACGGCTCACGGATGAACAAAGGTCGGCGTCAGGCACGGCGAGGGCGAGGGCTGGGGGTAATGAGATGGGAGAGCCATCGACGCCCGGCCGCTCAGCTGGGCGTCACGTCGACAGCTTCCTAGATGAGTCGCACCGCATAATCAGGTACTGGTCGCGTCGTCCTGCGCACGTCGCAACCAGCAGCACCTCAGTCCAGGGTCCATCGTCCAGACACGGAAAGTCGACGAGTGCTGGTGGAGGCGGCCGCCAACCAGCCAAGCAGAGGCGCGTGTGGATGGTGTGGATATTTAGCGTGTCGACTGTGTCCCGCGCAAGCGCGGTTCATCAATCTGGCCATCCGCCGCGTCGGGTCGTGCTCGATTCTGCCGGGCGTGGGCGTGGGGAGCAAAACAGAGGGTCCCTCGCTTGGTTGAATCCGCCCTGGTCTTGTCGCCCCAATGAAATCCCCCTCGCCTTTGGCTCTGGCTGTGCTTGCTGCGGCTGCAGGGCATCCCTCACTCATCCCTCTGCAGTGATATGCAGGAACGGCATGGCGGGCGTCGCTTGGATGAACCAACGGCGCGCAGGCCAGGCCAGGCCAGGCCAGAGGGCGAGAGAGCGCCCGAAGGATTGCAGCGGACGGCTGATGAGGGGGCGGCCGCCCATTCATGTGCCCAGCCCGGGCAGGCCCGCCGCGAGGAACAGCAGCGGCGGTGGAACAGGGCGGGAGGGACGAGGAACCCGCCCCGTGAACCCCCCGACAGCACCAACTGCATGGGAGCGCCCTCGACGCACCTTGGGGGACGGGGCCGGCACGCGAGCGGTGGCCCGCAGTGCGAGTTGAGCATGCAGCAAGCCTGCCCTCGACGCCCTCCTAGCGCCGTGGCAGAGCCAGCCAGAGGGCGACGTCGACGCGCCTCCCTCCAGGGGCCCTGGAACCCTGTCCACTCTCATCTCCACAGCAGCTTATGCCTCAACCAGGGATTCCCAAGGCCCCCATGGCCCCTGGGCGTGGTGCCGGCCGTCTTGCTCGCCGTGGTGCCAGCTGTGGTGCCAGCCGTGGGCCGTGGTGCCAGCCGTCGAGTCGCACGACATGCTCGCCCACAGGTCATTGTGCCTGGTGACTCCGAGACCCAGCGCCGCCCCAGGCCCCGAGGGTCGTCGAGCCATGTCACCGGGAGGCTGTGAAACGTCAGACGCTGGGCTAGCCTGGCCCTGGATCGACAGCGCTGGACTTTTGGTGTTGGAGACGTCGCCGATGCGCCGCGCCCACGCCTGCAAGGACGGTGCGTCTGAGCATGTCTCGGGCTGGACTTGATGCCACGAGGCAGAGGTGCAGCCCGTTTTTGCGACGGCACGGCACACAATGGCGGGCTCCAGACACGCCTCGGGCACCTGGGACCCGGCCCGGGTACAGCAGGTCTAGGCATGGACTGTCGTCCCGTCGTGCGCGGCTGTCTCGGTTCGCTGGCTGGCTGTTTGTCTGCTGCTGCGTCTCCTCGAACCCGGCCTCAAGGCGGATGCAGGTAGCAGCAAGCACGCACGCGGGTGTGACGGGGTTGTGACCCGTGAGAGGTGGGGGACCGGAAGCACGGTGCAGTTGAAGACGGACGGGGCAAGACGGGCAAGCAACCTGGAAGTGGAGGAAGCATTGGCCTCCCCACCGTGGGTGAGTTTACTCGTCTTCATCAGGCACCATCTCATCGTGTTCTGTCTGTAGGTACGGAGTAGATGTACCAAGCAGGGCAAGTACCTTGCAAGTTACCTACTCGAGGACGGCAGCACCAAGTACGGCGCTGTATACGGAGTACCTGCCGCGCAACTACGTGTATCCTCCTTCGACCAGTAATCTCACCTGCCCCCGTAACGCGAAAGCGGCGCAGGCAGGCGCGATTGTGATAATGGAGCACTTGCTGGCGGTTCTTTCCTTCCAGGTTCTCTCTCCAGGGCTGCTCGCGCCTGCCTTGCGAGGGCCAGCAGGCGTTGTCCACTGCCCAGTAGGGTACTATGCCGAGCACGAGTCAACCTCCATGGGCAGAAAGGCAGGTACCTACGAGGCTTGCGAGGGCAGCACCACTCGAGGTTCTCCGCACACGAGGTTCCAGTTACTCCCGCACCCCATCTCATCGTTGCCTCGATTCCCGCCCGCCTGGAACGTGGCATCTGGCCCCCTCCGCGAATCCCAGCATCAAGCCATCTTCAAGCCATCATGGCTGCGGTGCAGCACTGAATGACCCTTTGTCGGGCTCAGGCAAGCCGCGTCTTCACCGGTTCAGAGATTCCTCAGGTAACCAGCCACCCGCGGGACGACTCCGACCGCAGGACGGGGTCCCTGGTCGCCGCGCGAGCTTCGGCGCTGCCAAACAAGGCCACGCCCCTCGAGCAGGGAGCCTTGAAGGAGGATCCCCTGTTGAGCTCCCTTGGCTCCATGTCCAAGTTCTTGGGCCAGAAGCGATGGAGCAGGGGTTCCCTTCAGGAGCGACAGTCAGCCTCCCGCACATGTCAGGCCCTTTCCCCGGCCTGTCTTCTGCCAGCCTGTCGATAACCATTTCCAGACGCATTAACACGCCTGACGCGGGAAATTCGGCTTATTGCAAGCGATAGCTGCACGAGCATGGATCGCAGTCGAGGGCGTTTGCTTGCGGTAACAGTTCCTGAAGTCGCCGCGTTGGACGCTGCTGCGTCCGCGACCAAGTACGTAGTCCGAACGCCCCGTGTACGGGCATGCACGAACAAAACTGGACATCTGCGCCTCAGCGGTGGATGCCATGCTTCCACGCCAGATCTGACTTCTCCACATGTCTGGGCCCGTTACGATGGGTTGGATAACAGGCCTTCGCGCGAGCAGATGGGGCCGGCAACCCCTGGAGACAGACAGGTACGAGTATTTCTCCGCTTTGACGCGTAACAAGCTCGAGATGTAACTCGACTCTTGTGCCCCGATTTCAACTCCAAGCGGAGCACCGCCGATTCCTGTCGCGCCGCTGGCTGCACTGTTTAGCTCCCAGGGCTTCCTGGTCTGGAACGGGCAGTCCAGATGACGAGTCCAGGCTGACAGAGTCCAAGCACTTTTTGCCGAGTCCGTTGCACGGGCGTTTTTCTGTCATCCCGCGTCTCGGGGCGTTGGTCTGGACCTTATAAGCAAGCACTAATGTCCTGCTCAATGTCTCGACTCTTTCGCCAGAAAGTCTATGTTGAGCAGTGCGACCTTGGCGCAAGACTGGGGCCCTTGAGTCGCCCTGCCTGCTCTGAATGACTTGCAGCATGGCCGCTCCGTCGACATGCTCCCTAGGACGTTCTCGCACTAGAACACCAAGCGTTGTAACCGATACACGCGCTTCAACCCCGCCAGCCGGGACAACACATGAGGACTGGCGTGGCGGCCCTGCATGGCCCTTTTCCGAGACGAAGTTTTGTTGAGCCCACCAGCAAGGCAACAAAGTGTGCAGGCAGCTTGCTCGAACAAGCGCAACGATGGGCACGTATTCTCAGGCGTCATTCTCTGCAGGTCTCCCATACTTCGGGATGTTACATTGCCCTCTCACTCGTCGAGCCGAGCCGATCGTGGATGCGCAAACAAACCCAGGTCCTCCGAGGCATCCAAGCATCTTCGACTTTCGTCGACAGGGCGGCAGGGGTCCGCGTGCGCCACCTGCGTGGGCTCGTCTCCCGTGGCTTAGGCCCATGCAGCTAAGTTGCGCCTACAGCTCTAGCGCGAGGCACGCCTCCATTGGGGTCGTCATGGTCCAGACATGGTGGGAGGAGGTCATGTTCCATGGCCTTCTGTTGCTGCACCCCTTGTTGGTGCAGGAACTGCAACCTGCAACAACGACGAGGAACGCGTCGCCCGGGAGTGTGATTGGTCCCACCCGCTCACAGTCAGGACGGAAACGAGGGGGCCAGGCACGGCAAGTCCCCATAGTGCGCCAACTTTTCAAGAGAGCTTCTGTGAGCCAACATGCGCAAGCATAGCCCAGGAAAGCAACTGCTCCGATGCGCGTCTTCTCTTTGGCACTTCCTCAGCCACTTCAGGTTCCCCACTCTTGACATTTGGTAAAGAAAGATCCAACATCTTCTGACAAGGTGCGCACGCAACGTGAGCAGCTGTTTGGACAACCAACACGTCTCCGACGAGCTGGCCAGGGACCGAAGCCAATTGAGCATGAATAGGACGCGTGGCCCTGACGGCATTTCACACAAGGACGGGACAGGGACCGGGTCAGAGAAAGCTTGCTGCAGGTTCTTGCTCCTGCGCAGAGGCAAGGGAAGAGGATTCGGCGACAATGTGTCTCGATTGGGGCTGTCCCGCTGTGGAGAGTCGAGACAGCAATGCTCGATGGAGACGAGAGCTGCCAAGCCCTGACATCCTGGCACGTCGAGGTCATCCCTCCGCACGCCGGGTACAAGGGATTGTAAGGCAGCAATAAGCTTCCATGGTGGGACAATGCTCGCCCTGCAAGCACCAGCCCACGTTCGGGTACGAGGACTCGTACAAGTACAACAAGAAGATGCGAGTTGCCAGCGTCAGCCTCCTCGCCGGCGCGTCGCGCCTCGTACAAGTACACTGACAAGGCGGCGCGACGAGGCGACGGGCGACCGCTGTCGATAGCATTGGTTGCTAATGCTCCGCCAGAGGCTAGCCTCGTGACGCTCGGAATCAAGCCGTGCAAACTGCTGGGCATGCCGTGACACTCGCCGCCCGACATTGTTTGCGAGAAGCGCCAGCGCAGAACCACGCCGGTCAGCAACGGCACGGCAAGCACTCGTGCAGGGGAGCGGCATCGCACTGGATATCGCCTCTACTCGTACTGCTACGTACCACTGGACTACGGACTGCTAGCTGCTGTCGTGATCTGCTGTGGCCTGAAATTGGCTCCGATAGCAAGTTTCCGAAGATCTCTACGGTGGGGGCAGCGGGTCGACATGGATCGCGAGAAGATGTCGAGGACCCCACATGGAGCGGCTCAACGCGACGGTGGCATGGTGGCATGTTGGGTTCGCGGGACATGACCCGAGCTGCTTCCAAATCCTGGGCCGTAGGGAAGGGGGCGTCCTGCTCCTTCGCGCTTGTGCGAGTACTTGTAAGCCGCGCATGAAGAGCCCAGGGCGCCATTCCTTGGTCGATGTCGGACGGGACGGCTCCCTCGCACTGCTGTTGCCCATCCGAGTTGACGGTCCAGTCCGGTCCTGCATCGGTCACTTGAGACACACGAGGCATCGACGTCGGACAGTTGCAATCACGGGGGGCTTTTGGCGGCGTGGTGCCGAGGTCAATGACGTCGCTCGCGCTTTGTCGCTGGCCCTCGAAAGGCACACATGAGACACGAGACAGACAGATGACCAGAGAGGGTGTCGTCGCCGCTGCAGAGAGGCGAGCTTTCTGGGCCTCGGCGGGGGCTGGGACCGTGGAAGTCGGTGGGTTTGGCTTGACAGGGAGACGCCTGGGGGCCATTGCCTCGTGCCGTACCGTACCGAGCCATGGTGGACGCGGGGAGAAGAGGTCGGTGTGACGGGATTGCAGGCTACTACTGCACGAGGCCGCATGTTGGTGGGCAAAGGTCTGCGAACGGACCATTGACGGCACACGCTCACCCAGCCACGACCCAGCAAGATCCGTGTCTTCCCTGTTGAACCACACGGAGTTGCTTGTCGGATCATGGCATCGCATCGCGTGGCATGTTCTCGACGAGGCGAGGCGGTTCGGAAAGTTTGGCCGACGCAAGGGCCGTTTTGGATTTACGAGGCTCCGTCCATCTCGTCCAGGTCGCCGCCTGCCTGGGACTGCTAACACGTGTATCCACGGTCCGAGCACGGCGCATAGAACACAAACACTGGCGCTCATCGACTTCAGATGGGCTGCGCAGTCATGTCATCCCTGTCAACCGCCTGGGCAGATGCGCAAGGTGAGGGAGGGAGGTCCGGCATAGCGCGGCTCATATCAACTTGCACACGGGCGCAAGGAAGAGTCAAGGGAGGCAGCACCGACGAGTTGCACCAGGGATGGCGTGGATTCTTCTTCTTCTTCTTCAACAACGACAACAATCTGGCTAAAGTCGACAGAAATTCACCGAGACGGCACCGCATCAGGCCCTTGCGGATGGACCTGGCTCCTCTTCGGGGCGACAATGGCCGACCGTGGAAGGGTAGTGAAACGTACGGAGGCAGCGCCACGCTTCAACGACCCCCATTGACTCCATAAACGGACTGAGATCAGCGGGCTGCTCAGCTTTTTGGCAGCCGGCAAGCTCCCACCGACGACGAACAGAGTCTCACTCACGCTGGGCTCCACCATCAATCCCGGGAAGCTGGGCTGGGCTGGGCTGGGGCCCCAGCCGGGATGTGGTGTCGTCGGGACAGGGAGAAGAAAGAAGCATTAATATCCGCCTCGCACGTTCCTTGACAACGTGCTCGGCATAGTGCCTGTCAAGTAATGTCCGCCCAAGGTTTGCTCGATAATTAACCCGGGATGGCGTCCCGTCACTCAACGGCGATCGACGCCACGCGAAGAGACCGCTGATCGGTCGGTGGAGGGTAGAGTCTGCCGTCCGTCGCTTTATATCGGTGCCATCATGATTCGTGGCCACCGGCGTCTACGGACAGCGCGGTGACGAGCACAGCCCGGAACGACGTCCCTGCAAGAGGCCGTCAGGCCCGCAACGCGGAGCATTGGAGGTGCAATTTTCTCCATGCCGGCCTTTCCAAAAGCTCCTGCCCTTATTGCCGCCGCGACGGCCGAGCACAGTGAAGCCTGGATGATCCACCACGCCGATGAGGAAGAAGCAGGGCCATCCCTGTGCGCAATCTGCTAGCCACCACGGCCCCAGGTGGCCCAAGTGCCGTCTTCAACACAGGCCGCCCCTGTCATCGTGTCCCTTGCGTGTTGATGAAGAAACACGGTACTGTCCTTTGCTGGCGTCGACTGCTCAGCCTCACCCTTGCGCCGTTGCACGTGGAGGCGCGATGCTTTGTTGTTTACCTTTGCATCGTCGTTTCGCTCCCGCTTCCCCGCGCCCCTTGGCACCATTCACTGCTGCCTGAGCCTCGTGTACTGTAACAAGGCTACGACGCTGAGACCTCGGATTGCGTTGAAGCACTACCGGCGTCGTCTGAGCGGGGTGGCGGCAAACGCCCTGCGGGCCCGGCTCTTGGATGCCCGACTCGTGCAAAGGGGAAGCAGCCCCAGCCGGGACTTCGAATCCGGCCTTCCTAGCGTCCAAAGGGCTGCATTTGTTTGTTTGCTGCCGTCGGCCGCAGGCGCGCGGTCTGCCGGCCGCCCGGACGGCGAACCTCTTCAACCCCCCTTTGAGCGCGCGCGACTCGCCAGGCAGTCCTGTTCCAGCAGCTCGGCGATCCCGCCTGGGTTTGTTGTGGCATGGGCTGCGCGCTTACGTAGAACGAGCCAGTGTTAGATCCGGCGCAAAATCGCGCTCTCCCGGGGTCGGGGGATAGAGCAGCGTCGGCGGCGTTTTTTCTGGGGGCCGCGAGACTGGACTGCCTGCCGTATGCGACCACGAGAACGGCACTGCTTTGGTCCGTGTGGGCTTGGGCTCTGGCTTGCCTTGCCGGGCCCGCCCCTCCCTCTCAGATGGTGGACACCATCGCGATCGTACGCTGTCTGAGGGAGCTCTCGTTCGAGAAACATGGGCGCGATGGGGGCCGCGGGGTGGTCACCTCACGAGCGACGGGCGCGCTGGCAGAATGCCGCTGCCCCGTCGCGCTGGGAACCCACTCGGGAAGCTTGCTGGCATGTTGGTGCTTGCGTGCTTGGACGTGAACCGCGGAGGCTCCCCCCAAGTTCCTGGCAAAAGGGGGCCATTTCTCATCGTGGTGGACATGTCGCAGCCGTTGCTCGCCCCCCGCAAGGATGCTCGCGGGTAAGAACATGTCATCAGGAGCTCTGAGGCCAGCCAGCCAGCCAGCAGCGTCCAGGCATGTCCCGGATGCAACACATGAGTCCCGAAATAGAAGCAAAGCACGCAACTACAGCTGCATTCGTAGAGCATGTGCGTTCGATTAGGAATGTACATACGTACGACCACTCACGCTGTACGTAGGCGCCGCCAACGTCGCACATGAGAGCAGACATGTCGCGCTCGACGATAGATCCAACGGAGATGCGTGTGCCAACTAGATAGCCCCGCCCCCGAGCACCAATTCTACCCGGGGTCATCGGGAGACCAAGAGGAAACATGAAGAACAGAGAGAAACATAAAAAGGAAATAAAGCAGAAGCCGAACCCGCCCAACAACGCCTCGCATTACGAGCTCAAAGACAAAACCGCCCCTGCCCCCTTTGTGGCGGCCTCAGCTGGGGTATTGCGCTCCCCGCCTGCTCCCATGCCCCTCTCCTTAGTAGTTAAATGCTGAGCTGAGCTGAGCTGAACCGAACTGACCGACTGACCGACCCCTTGGGGCCCGGGCGCACGACAACGTGCGCCCCCTGATATGCTATCATTGATTATCGGGTGTTGCGCGCGCAACCCCGCGACGACGATCCATTATGCGACATGTACTGTTGTTGACCGCTACCTTTTTTTAATCGCTCAAACGGTCGCCGCGCGTCGGTGATGGATGTGGCTAAAGAAGTGAGACGGGTATTGGTTGCGACGTGCGTCGTAGTGTTGAGTGGTGGTGGTGGTGGTGGTGATGATGATGGTGGTGATGGTCATGATGGTCCGCTGGTGCTGGTAGTGGTGTCCGCGTCGGGAGTATCACCTGCAGCTGGAGCGTCGCCCTCCTCCTTCTTGTTCTTCTTCCTGGCGCGGAAGAAGTCGCCGAGGGCGTCGCTGACGCTCCGCGATCTTCTCCTCCCCGGGTCGTCCTCCACCTCGCCGTGGGATCCGGCGCTCTCCTGTCTGTGCAGCGCGGCATGCAGGTGATCGTCCGGGGCGGGGATTGCCGACTGGCCTAGCGAGTTGCCTTGACCATCCTCGTCGTCCTCGTTGAAGAACAGGCTGGCGCGGATGCTGGAGCGGATGCGACGCATCGACGACCTTTGCGCCTGGTGGCTGTCATTCTCCCGCAGGAAGCCGTCCTTGACCACGGTCGTCACCGTCGACGAGAGCGGAGACGGCGATATAAACGTCTTGGAGCGGTGGTGGCTGGCGGCCCGGCCGAGCGCAGAGCTGGGCCGCGGCGTCACTGGACGGTCCGTAGGGAAGGACGGGGGCGCGGCGGGCTCCCTCTGCGGCGTGCTTGGGAACGATTGCGTCGGCGTAGAGGCAATGACGGAGGGCGTGGCCGCGGGTTCCGCGGGGAACACCTTGTTACCGCCAGGCGACGAAGCTGAGGAGTCCCAGGATGATTGCCACGGATTCTCGACCAACGGTGAGGTCACGTCGACGAGCAGGTCCGGGGCGCTCGCAGCAGCTGAGCTCGTGACCCTTACAATGCCGGGTTCGCTAGCAGGAGGAGGAGACTTTGGCTTGATCGTTTCAGCGAAGCTGACCCGCGAAAGCTTGCTCGACCTGCGCGACTGCGACTTTGGAGGTGGAATGTCGCGTGCCGTGCCACCTCCGTTAACGTCGTGTTGCCTCAAGCCGATGGTCTCCTCGACGCCCTCCGCCTCCGAAAGGACGTCTTCGTCATCGTCTTGCGGCTTCCTCCCGCTAGTGATGAGAAACACGCCAAAGAAGGTGAGCAAGCATCCGCCAACAAACTTGGCCGCCTGCTCGAGCGTCGTCTTTTCGAAATCCCGGTACAGGATGGCGCTTCCCAGGATGACACAGAGAGTGAAGAGCACGAACTGGATGGGAATGACCTGGGTCGAATCGAAGCGCTGGAGCGCCTTGTTGACGTAGCGAATTTGCATGATGGCAGTCCCGAGAAGAATGAGGACAAGCACGTAGGTGACGGGGGTGGCAAAGGCCCTCCAGAGGGTAGAGGAAAGCATGGACGAGACGCCCTTCGTGGCCAAGGCAGTATAGCCCCCTGTTCCCAAACAAGTCAGTAACTCATTACACCAGACGTTTGAACGGGATATCGCGTACCGAAGAGACCCACGAGCCCCAGATCTATCAAGATTGTGCGTCTCCCGTACCTTGGGCTCGCCCACATGAGGACCAAGATGAGGAGAACCGTCACGCCCATGTAAATTTCGAATTCCATGGTGGTGATTGCGTCCCACACGTCGTGCGGCTCGAGCTTAGTCTCCTCCTGGTTGGCGCTCAGGACGACGGTCACGACACCGGCCACGGCGATGACGACGCCCCAAAAGTCTCGGGCGCGGAACCTCTCATGGAACATGACGGGAGCGATGATGCAGTTGGAGACGAGGGCGACGACGCCGAGAGGCGACACAATGGAGGCCGGAGCAAAGCCATAGGCGAGAAAGTTGCCCGTCTCGCCGAGGGTGATGAGGATCTGGCCCAGCCACCAGTATGGCGACTTGAGGTACGTCGACGCAGCCTGTGCGGTGGGGTCAGGGCCGTTTTCGACATCGGTGGTGGACGACGACTGGAACGAGGCGGCGAGGGGGTCCGTCTCGTGGTCGCCGTGGCCGTCGTCGGGATCATGGCCGCCGTTGGTTCGGTGTGCAACGACGGCAGAGGCATGGCCATTGCCCCGCCCAGCACCGTCGGCTCCAATGGCGCCGTATGTCCCCGCGTTTGCGCCGGCGCTGCTGCTGCCGCTCTGCGCCCGCTTCAGAGCAGCTCGCGCCCGTTGGCGGACGCGGACACGCTCCTTGTGCAGTCTCGTGTGTGCATAGCGCTGGACGTTGAGGGCCAGGGCGATGAGGACGTTGCCGACAATGGCAGTGACGATGCCTATGAGCGAGGACCAGTTCTTGAGCACCTCGCCGGGGTCGCCGGGTAACCCGGAGGACGTCGGGCTCGCGGAGGGGGCGGCCGTGGTCACCGTCGGGGCGCCTGTGACTGTGGGCACCGTCGTCGCAGTCGCCAAGGTCGACATCATCGCGAGGACCGGCGAGGCTGCAGGCGCGGATGCGGACACGGGCGGGAGCGGCCTGCGAAAGGCCCGACGAGGGGGACGAATGCCGCGCGCCTTGAGTGGTGGTGGTGGTGCGCGGATGGTGATATCATTGGGCTGGTGGCGATGCTGGTGACGACGTGGGCGAGTCGCAAGTCGGAGGACGGGGGCCGACCATGACAGCACAGCAGCCGCGCGGCGCTGGGCTTGGATGAACGGAGGGAGAGCGCGAAGTAGAAGTATGCGAAGCGATGCGATGCGAGCGGGTGCTGCAGATGATGATGATGCACGGATTTTACAGATGCACGGGGCACAAGGAAATCGGCCGGCCGGCGAGGTTGGCGCGCTTCATTTCGCATCTGGCGGTTCGCCCGCAGCGTCGGAGAGCGGAGTGGAGTCGCTTGGTGCTGCCTTTCCTTCCTTCCTTCCTGTCCTGCCGGTGGAGCGGCGGTCTTCTGCACGCTTTTTGCGGAGTACGAGGTGTACGTAGTGTACGTAGTGTACGTACCCAAGATGCTGCTGAACTTGGCAGCCTGCAGCAGGCAGGAGCTACCTGGACGCACGACCGTGCAGGGCCGAAGCTGCCACCTGCGCCACGGACGCCCTTGCGTTTTTGGGCCCGAATGCACCTCATTTGACGGCCCTCGGCGCCAAGGGAGCTCGCGCCACAGCCGGCGGCACCGCACCGCACCGCACTGCACTCCACTGGGCAGCGCTGGTTCTGGAGTGGGAGAGCCACCTACCTGGCACCCACCTCAGTGCCCGACGGACAGCCCAGCAGCCCTGCGAGCGGGCTGTCCGCAAAGGTCCTCGGCGGCGGCGGGCGTCAGGCTCGGGCGCCGGCAGACGTCAGTGTCGCAGCGGGTCACGGGAACCCAAACCCGCTCCACCTCATCCAACAGTCGGGGTCGACATCGCCGCACGTCCCCTCTGTAGGTGGTTACGTGCTTCAGAGTTCAGCCCGGCGCAGACACAGATACTGCTAAACAAGAACACTGTCTCACCTGGCCTTGCGACGACTCCACCGCGCCTCCGCCATGAGCCGCGACGGCGACAACGGCGACAACAGCTCCAACGTCTTTGTCCGCTTCAAGCAGCACGTCGACGCCAACATCGCCTCCGGCTTCAACACCCTGCTCGGCGGCCATCCGACTGCCCCGCGTCACGCCACCACTACGTCCACCGCCACCGACGATAATACCGTGACGTCTCCCCGCGCCATGGACATCGACGAGCCCGACCGGCGACCCCCGACCTGGGACGTCTTCTCCCTCATATCCTCGGCGTCCTACTCCCCATCGGCCCTGCGCCATCTCCCACAGCCCGTCCCTAACGATCTTCCGCCGGACCTCGACTCCTCCGTCTTCACCTTCGAAGATGCCTTCGAGGACCTGCTGGCCGTCTCGCAGAGCCAGCCCCTGCCCGACATCACCGCCAAGTACGACCAGAGGAGGCTGCTCCGCCAGATGTTCCCCAACGGCGAGCCCACATGGTTCTGGATGCGCCGCCTGCAGTCACAGGGCCTGGTCGAGAGCCCAAGCCGCGGTCGCTTCTTCAGAGCCCTCCGCCCGGACTGGGATGGCTTCCACCGCGAGCTCGATCGGCGCGCGGCCGAAGTGTGGCGTGGCGCCACTGGCGGCAGCGGCGACGAGGACGACGACGACGAGGACGCCGGAGATCTGTTCCATGAGATAGGGCGCGCCTTCAAGCAGATAGAGCGGGGCTTCTCCGACGAGGGCCGCGCCGTGTCGCAAGACACGCCCGAGGCAGACGACGTGTCTCAGCGGCGGGACCGGCGGCACCCAGACATGTTCGACGACCTCTTCTCCTCCATATCCTCCTCGTTTGCCCACGGCCAAAAGTCGTGGGAGACATTCCTCAAGACCATTGCGGATCAGTCCGCCGCCCTTGAGAAGCGCAAAGACGCGAGCCTTGCCGACGGTGACACGAAGCAGGTCGAGACGCGGGACGAGTACGTGGACCGGTTCGGCTACCTCCACAGCACCGTCACCCGCAAGACGCTCGACAAGGACGGCAACGAGATTGGCCGCGAGACGTACGTCACCATGCGGCCCGCCGAAAAGAGCGCGCCCGAGCAGCACCAGCTCGACAACTACCCCAAGGAGGAGCTGGATCATGCCGAGGGAGCCGCGGATGAAAACGGGAAGAACAAGTCTGGCTGGTTCTGGAAGTGATCCTCCTGAGCTCGCGCACTTCATCACCACTCCGTTCATTTACCTTCACATCAATTATCGTGCTGGGTATACGTCTTTGGAGCTTACTCTTGCCTCAATAGTCGTCAGATGTACATGCAATCAGCATGGAATCTTGTTGTACGAGCGTGACAATGAAAGTATTGAAGCGGCTCACCGGCAACGTGAGGCACCATGCCCAGAGTAACTCGCCAGGAATGCTTCGGTTGCCTCGTGTTTTACTTGTACTATCCCTCGAGATATCCCTGCTCAGGTCATTTCTGCTCTGTACAAGCATGCTGAGGGCAGGGCTGGGAGATGCTCGCTATTTGGAGGTGCGAGCAAGACTGATGGTTGGTTTTGGGGCCGGGTGGCCACAGCCTCGAGCGGCACGCAAGCAGGCGGGCAGGCCGCAGGGCCGCGCTCCTCACCGGCATGAACTGTTGGCAAGGCGAGACGGCGCACTATTGGCTTGCCGAAACACGAGTGTTGCGTGCATATGGATAGGCGCATAACGAGCAAGAAGGCATGTACATGACCCATTGCTTAAGCATCCGCGATGTTGCGCAAAGCAACTCATCGATCCAACTGGCTCCGCCGGCAGTTTCCCCCTCCGTCGCTGTCTGCCCCTGGGGGGATTTTGCGAGACCGCCGTGGTCCCCTGGAGTGAACCGCTTCAAAGTGTTGTGTCCTCATACCGGGGTGGACGAGATGCGGCTGCTCGGCCGGCGCCTGGACGATGCCATGCACTTGGTCTCTCGGGTGTAGGATGGAGAGAGATCCTGGCCTTACGAACAGTAGCGATAGAATGCGGTCAAGGCTTTCAACATGTTCGCCCGGTCCCAGTATGGTGATGCCTGTTTCCTCCACCGGCGGCAAATGCGGTGGGGAACATGACATATCCATCCAATTTAGCCAGACCACTATTAGACGCCAAGTTCTGTAGCAAGTATACGAGCGGATGAGTATATGTTCAAAATGTTCGAGTGAATCATCGCTAGTAGTATCAGTGAGGCACCATGCCTAACCCTTGCGCGCATTGGCCTTCTTCTTCCGCATGAGTCTCGTCCGCGCGATGAGTCTGTGCTTCATATCCTCTTGCTTCTCAGCATCCTTGCTCTCCTCACCTCCTCGCATCTGTCCCTTGACCTTGTTGCCCCGCTGCCCCTTACCACGCGCCCGCTTTGTGGGCTGCTCAACCACCTCGGGCTCTTTGACCTTGTTGTTGGCAGCCTCGGTGGCATTTGCGCCCTTGTGCCGGTTCCCTTGCGCGGACTTCTCCTCGGCCACACGCCTCCTCTGCACCACTTGCGCGTTCTCAATAGAGAACTCGACAATCAGGCGCTGCTTCCTTCCGTTGTCTCCCTCGAGCTGATGCCCGTTCAAGTATCGCAAGCCCATCAGGGCCCAGTGGTGCGACACATACTCAATGAAGCCGTACCCGCGGCTCTTGCCCGCTCCACTCTTCTCCGTGACCTTGGATCCCTGGTTGCTTTCGAAAACGATCTTGGCCTGACGGACAATGCCCTTGCCCTTGAGCTTCCGTTCGCGCTCCTTCTCTCTGGCATCCTTGCCATCTCTAGCGTTCTCCTCCTTGGAAAGCGGTTGCCGTCGCCCCTCCTTGACATCCTGAGCGAACCCTACAACAGCTTTCCGCGCTAATTCTTTGAGCTCTTTCGACCCGATGTTGCGCGGTAAGTTGCGAATCGCCAGTCGAGTAAGGCTGACGTGCAAGCTGGGGTTGCTCTGAACCAGTTTCCGGCGTTGTGCGGCGCTTGCCTGCCTCATCCTGACCTCCTGGTCCGAAAGCAAGTTATACAGTGGGGAGCCTGAGCTGATGGCACCTTCAGCCAAAAGGTAGAGCCTTCTCTTGTCCTTCTCTTGTCGCTTGGCCAATGAGCTCTCCGCCAGGTTGGTAGCCTCTTCTTTGTTGACGGCCTGGGCCACTTGAAGAAGCCGCCCGTCCAGGGTATACTTGCCGCTCGGGTCTGCGTTCTCGTCAAGCAGAAGAGACTGCTTGGCGCCGGCAGCAGCGGGCGTGGGCCGAGGAGCTCCCTTGATGCATTCTTTGGCATCTGACTCCTTGAAGAAGCAAACGAAGCCGGTTCCAGCAGGCTTTTCGGTGACTTTGTCAAAGACGACGCGAGCATAGCGTACTCTTCCAAAGGTTTCAAAGAAGCCCTTGAGTTGCTCATCTGTCGAGGTGAAAGGCAGGTTGCGAATGAAAAGCGTTGATGAGTTGTCGGTTGTCTTCCGTTGCGGCTTCTTCTCGGCCTCCTTGGTGGTTGCCTTGTCCTCGTCGCTGTCGTCTTCGTCTTCATCTTCTTCGTCCTCATCTTCGAGATTCTGAAGGTGATTCTTCATGAAATTCTCCAAATCGGCGTTCAATTCGTCGTCCACTGGTTTGCCGGTAGTACCTACGGCAGAGCTCTCGCTGCCATCATCGGACTCGGGATCCTCCTGGGCGATGGGCTCATCGCTGGCCTCTTTCTCCTGCTCTTTTTCTTGTTGCTGGTCCCATGTGGCCTTGTCAACGGCCCAGTCGACAGCAACAGTTCGGCCGTCGATTTCTTTGCCGTTGATACCTTCCAAAGCCTTCTCGGCGTTCTTCCGTCCACGGAGCGTGACGAAACCAAACCCCTTGAGCTTGCCCTTGTTGTTGGGGAGGTCGGCGAACCTGACTTTCCCGTAACTCCTGAACAGGTGTGAGAGTTGTTCCGAAGTCTTGATGGTCCACGGCAAGTTTCGCACGATAAGTTTCGTGGGCTGGGGGACCGGCCTTCCAGGCTTGGTATGAGGCACATCCTCGGCGTCGTCGGCCGTGTTCCTGTGCCTGCGCTCCGCTAGATCGACTCGGATGCGCCTCCCATCCCATGCAGCCTTGTCCAAAGCCTTCTGCGCCTCGGAAGCATCTTCGGCATCTGCAAAGGTGACAAAGCCATAGCCGCGGGACTGCTTAGTGTTCTGGTCGAGGACAACGACGGCGTGCTTGACGGGGAAATGCTGCGAGAAGAACTCTGCCAGAGACTCGTTGGTGGCGCTGGGCGGCAGCGATCGAACGAACAGAGACCGGCGCTCCTCAACTCGAGCTCGCTTGGTTGTCTGGACGGCGCCTGGCTCTTGGCTTTCAATTGCGGCGGCAACAGCGTCCTCGACCTCGGAGCGCTGTCGCTTGCGGTCGTTCTTTTGGGAGCCCATTGCGGCGGGCATACACTGGACCGATAATGGTCGAAGCGTTTTCTTTGCGGTGGCAGTTCAAGCTCGTTTGGTTGCTTGCTTCACTTGCAGAAAAAAATCCCATAGGCCGGCGCTGATAACGGCCAGGGTCCTTATCTAATCGCACGTGATGGCGGGGCGCCTTGGTGGCTTATGGAAAGCTGCGCTAGGCCGAGACGGGAACATTGTTGACTCTCATCCCGCAATTCGACGCGTGCGACCCAAACAAAGGCATCACCACTTTAGCCAGACACACGTACAACCAACACTCGCGAGTCCGACAGCTTCGCTTTCATCCGCGACTTCAGAGGCCGCGGCGCCGAAAACAACGAAAATGCCTGCGCGAGCTTCCACGCGATCGTCGAGGACGTCCTCGGCCATCTCCAAGAAGACTTCAACCGCCACCCTGGGCTCCCGGGCGTCCGTCGCTTCGCACGCGTCGTCCGCCGCCGCCGTCGAGTATGTCGATACGCCAGGGAGCGTGCTGCGCACGCAGATTTGCGCCGTATTCCGCGATGCCCAGCGGACGACAGCGACACACAGAAAATTGGCCGTCAACCTCCGCAAGGTCCACGAGTCCTGCTGCTACGAACCGACAAACAAGACGGGGCCGTCGAGCGAGTTCGATGAGGAGGCATTCAACAAGGAGTTTGTCCGATGCGTTCTGCGCATTATGCCTGTGAAGAAGGCCGAGAGTGTCGGAGAGAGGTCTATTCGATTCATCGGCTTCTATCTTCGCCTTGCCGGCGACAAGGACAACGAAATCCTCGGCGACATCGGCGCAGACACAAGCTTGATGCCAGAGACGCCAACCACGCGGCTGACATCGGAGCTTCTTGAGGCTGTGCTGCCGTTGATGGCCGCCAAGGACAAGTTTGTCAGATTCCGATCTACTCAGCTCATCTCGCACATCATCAACTCGCTCGACGCCATCGACGACGACCTGTTCCAGAAACTCCGGCACGGGCTTCTCAAGCGCATTCGCGACAAGGAGGCTATGGTTCGCTCGCAAGCTGTGCTTGGCCTTGGGCGCCTTGCCGGCAACCAGTCCGAAGGTTGCACCAACTCGGACGATAGCGATGATGGTCAGGCCACCGACTTGCTGGGCAAGCTTCTCGACGTGATGCAGAATGACCCAAGCGCCGACGTACGGAAGTCTCTTCTCGTCAACCTTCCTATTCTTCCGAATACGCTTCCATACCTACTAGAACGAGCCCGAGATCAGGACCCCGCCACTCGAAGAGCAGTCTACTCCCGATTGCTACCCGCCCTCGGAGACTTCCGCCACTTGTCTCTTTCGATGCGCGAGAAGCTCCTCCGGTGGGGCCTGCGCGACCGCGATGAAAACGTGCGCAAGGCAGCGGGCAGGCTGTTCAGAGATCGATGGATCGCAGACTGCGCAGGGACGTCGCAACAAGAGGAGGGCAACGCCGCGGAGCCAACACCACCCAGCTTCGATGGCCTTCTGGAGCTTCTTGAGCGGATTGATGTCATCAACTCTGGCGTCGAGAACGGTGTCGCGCTGGAAGCCATGAAGGGCTTCTGGGAAGGGCGGCCAGACTATCGCGAGGCTGTTACACTGGACGATAATTTCTGGGAAACTCTTTCCGCCGAATCTGTCTTCATGGCGCGGAGCTTCAACGAGTTTTGCAGGAACGAGGGTAACGGCCGGTATGAGGCGCTGGTCGAGGAGAAGCTGCCTGAAGTCACCAAGTTGGCCTTCTACCTGGAGCGCTACATGCACGCCCTGATCCAAGCCCTTAAGAGGGTTGCCGAGCAGGAAGCAGAAGAGGAGGAGGAGGAGGAGGAGGATACGGTCGAGCAAGAGTTCATTGTCGAACAATTGCTTCACATTGCCCTAACGCTCGACTACTCTGACGAGGTGGGACGCCGCAAGATGTTCACCCTGCTGCGCCAGTCGCTCTCCATTCCGGATCTGCCGGATGAGGTGACCAAGCTCACGGTCGAGGTTCTGCAGTACATTTGCGCCCCAGATGCCGCCGGTGAGCGAGAGTTCTGCAGCATCGTTCTCGAATCTGTCGCAGACGTCCACGATACCATTGTTGACGATCCTCCTGCCGACGATGTCGAAGACAGCTTCCACTCCGCCCGGTCCGAGGTCAGCCGCGGCAGCACGCAGGCCGAGAAGCGTGGCAAGGGCACGGACGTGAGTGAGGAAGACGCTCGTGAGAAGGCTGTTAGGGAAATTGTCGTCAACATGAAGTGTCTTCACATCGTCCAGTGCATGCTCACGCACGTGGCCGGCAACCTCAAGGACAACGCAGACTTGGTATCGATGCTCAACAACCTCGTCGTCCCAGCCGTGCGCAGCCACGAGGCACCCGTTCGCGAACGGGGGCTGGTGTGCCTGGGGCTCTGCGCGCTGCTGGACCGGTCGCTCGCCGAGGAGAACCTGGGCCTGTTCATCCACTTCTTCAGCAAGGGGCATACTGCGCTCCAGATCACAGCACTTCACATTCTCACCGATATCTTGAATGTGCACGGAGCCCAGCTCCTTTCTGCGACACCTGGCCTGCTCAAAGTCTACGTCAAGGCCGTCAAGGGCACCTCAAAAGCTCCCGAAGTTCAGGCGGCCGCGACGATTGCTGCTTCAAAACTGCTCCTTGGCCGAGTTGTGAGCGATGAAGAGGCCTGCGAGGAGCTGCTCAAGTCTCTCGTTGTTGCCTACTTCGATCCCTCTTCCGCATCAAACCAAACCGTCAGACAGGCATTGAATTACTTCCTGCCAGTGTTCTGCTACTCGAGGAGCTCCAATCAGGACCTCATGCGGTCCGTCGCCCTGCAGGCCTTGCATTCTCTCCTCAACCTGCGCGAGGGCTTGGAGGACGACGACGTGGATGTGGGAGAAGACATGGTCAGCATGACGGCCATCGGAGCCTGCCTTGTTGATTGGACAGATCCTCGCAAATGCTACACACCTGGAGTCCTAGCCGATGCGGACAAGAAGAATGTAAATGGAGATGTCCATCTTGATTTCGGACGGGACATAATGGAAAGGCTACGCAGCAACATTAGCAGTAAGTATTGGTAGAACCTCTTGTTTAGACCTACGGATGCTAACAACTTCAACAGAGGAAGAGAAGAAGGTTGCTGCCGGTCTGCTCGGCAAGCTTTACATTTCGCCCATCTCTTCAGACGAAAAGATTCGGGAGCTGTACGCCGAGGTCAGCGAGGCGGTCGAGGACGGCATCGTCTCCGATGCCACCAGCCGCAACTCTCTTTACAAAATCCACGTCAGCCTAGGCAAGATTGTCAATAGCCTCGATGAGCAGGTGCCCGCCCAGCGGCGCACAAGCCGTAGCGTTTCGGTCCTTACGGACAGGCACCCCGCTGAGGACAAGACGGTCATGGAGGAGTCGAGGATCAAGGAAGAGGAGGAAGACAGCGAGGGGACCATTGTGCCCAAGGAAGAGGACAAGGAGTCGCTTGTTGACGAGCTGCTGTCTGATGACGAGGATACCAAGATTCAGGATGTTTGAGACGTTGTGATGAGACGTGTGTGTGTATTTATGAACATTTGGAACGGGCTGGCCTCTGTGACGAGCGGCATGACGGGAATGAATTTTGCTGATACCTGTGGACGGACGCTGCAACTGATGACGGGACTTGTTTGGACTCGTATTTCTATTCTTGTTTCTGCTCATCGATATATTACAGGACTTTGTATCCAGTTTCACATCTGACCTTCTATCTAATCGGGTGACATCTCCGTATGGCACGTCATTGTCGCGCTCCAACCCAGAACAGAAGGCTGCCGTACACTACATTGATAACCAAGTGCTGACCGAGGCTCCACGCCATGCTGTAGAGGTATTTTGGCGAAAAGACGGTCCAGATGAACAGGTGCGTCCTCAGCGCAGTGCACGCCGCCATGACGAAGGCGACGCTCGCCGTGGTAAAGGCCGTCAGGAGGATGAGGTGGCGGCGCAGGACGTCGCCCCCGGCGTCACCGCCCCGGCTGCGCTTCTGCAGCAGCAGGAGATTGGTGGCCGAGGTCCAGAAGATGGGCCCGGCCCAGTTGCTCACAAAGGTGAGGACGCCGACGGCGACGACATTGAAGCCGCCGACGCCGTTGTAGGCGCTCGAGAGGTCGACCGAGGAGATGGCGTTGGAGCCGCCCGCGGCGAAGAAGGAGGCGTACTGGAGGAGCAGCGACGAGGTGGTGATCTCGACGACGCTGAGGTCGAGGGAGGCAAGGCACTGGAAAAGCACCGTGAAGAGAAGGAGGAGCGGGATGTTGGTGGCGCGGGACTGGGTCATGGCGAGCAGCGTGTAGAGGTGGTGAAGGAGACGGGCTGATGTTCCGTTGTCAGTGGCCGCGGCATCGCCGCTTGGCTTTCTTGCATGAACGGACGGAGACGTACCTGAAGACTGGGCATGGCACCCGCCCTTGCTGCTCTGGTAGACGGCGAAGACGGCCAGCAGCGAGATGACGGCAAAGACCATGCGAGCCCTCGACAGCAGAGACTGGCCCTCGAAGCGCCCGTTGAGGGTCTTGGCGAAGCCGGTGACCAGCTCGGGGGCATCCTCGGCCGTGAAAGCCAGCTTAAAGGCAAACACGGCGGAGACTAGGACCGATGTCGCGGACGTGGCGAGAATAAAAGGGAGGGCGCTCAGGTTGGGCAGGGTCTGGAAGGCGGCCAGCACGTAGGCGAGGCAGATGAGCGTCCAGAGCAGCTGCGGGTTGGGCGCGAGAAGGAGCTTGACGGTGTCGGGTTCGCCGGCGAACTTTTGCCCTGTCTGGTTCCAGCTGCGGATCAGTCGTAGCATGGTCAGCGCTGTGAGGGCCCAAGCAATGGTGGGCAGTCGTCCAGATCTATTACGTTGATCATCAGTATACATTCTGCCTGCGCTGTCTCTGTGCGTGGCTGCGCACCTTTTGATGGCTCGGGCGCCGAGCCAGGCCAGCCAGATCGTCGACGCCCAGTACCAGAAGTGCTGTTCTTCTTCGACGTAGCTGGACGCGAACATCATGATGCCGTATGATACGGTCATTAGAACCAGTGGCACCGCAATGCCGCTCTGGTGGGCGCCATGCAGGTAGGCTGCCATGACACTCGCGACAGTGGCGATAATGGCGAGACCCTGGCCGGCGAACAGCCTTGACATGTCGTAGTTGGAGGCCATGCTACTCATCAGGTCCTGGGCCTTGCGCAGCCACGACGAGGTGGCCGCCAGCCAGTCTTCCTCGACCGCCGCGGAAGCTGCCATGGCCGGAGCCTGCCGGGATATCCTTTGCCACTCACATGCCAGTTCGTTGATGTCTGTGGCTTCCAGCGCGCATGGGTCGCGGGAACCAGAGGCGGCGTCGCCCGTGAACAGAGTCTCTCCGAATGCGGCCGTGACGATGCCGAGGATCTGGCGGGCGTTGCGGATGAGGATCTGTACCTTGTCGCTGGCACTGGGCCAGAAGGGCAAGAAGTCTGGTATAACGGCGCCCAGATTGTTCTTTGAGATGGGGAAGCCAAGGAGTGCCGCGATTGTTGGCGCAATGTCGGACTGCTCGACCATGGTGTAGTAGTCAAACTCATCCTTGGGCTTTGCAGGGGCTTGTACTTGTTTGGCGATGCCCCTGAACTTGGGGGACAGGAAGACCAGGGCGGGCGATGTTTCGCCTGGGGACGATGCGCCGTGATTGCCAGCGTCATTCATGCCGTGGTCGCCACAAACCACGAGGAGGGTGGACTTGAGGTGGTCCTTGGACTCGATGGCTTCGTAGAGAGTCTGAACGATGCCGTCCATCTCGCGCTGCTTCGGAACCATGTTGGAGCTGGCAGAGGTCAGCAATGTCTCCCAGACCAAGACGGTGCTCTCAGTGCTACCTTCTGGGTCCCGACTTGTGGCCGATGTGGTCCAGCCCAAGGTAGTGGAGGACCATGAGCCCCCAGTCTTTGTTTGCTAGCTCACCGGCGATATTCCTCGTAACATTGTTGTCGACTTCGGTAAAGTCCTGGCGTCGGGGCGTAAGTAAAGACCGTCACTCTCGGGGCACATGGTGTGGCTTCATACCGCTACAAAGAAACTCGACGTTCCATCGTGGCGATCGAACGTATCGGGGAACAGCTTCAGCCATGTGTCGTCTCCGTACATGAGCAGCTTCCCCATTCCGGCGGCCTTGAGCTGCGCTAGCCAAGTGTCCTGAGCGGCGAGCGAGGAGGACGTGTCCCCCTCGTCGATGTTTAGGATAAGATCAACGAATGACGGGATGGAACCGGTGGTGATGGACTTGATGCGCGGCATCGTCACTGTTGGAGACCGGGCATTGGCGGTAAAGGGAATGGCAGCGCCGTCTCGTATGAGACTGTCCGGGCTGCGTCAACGAGGGCCGGTTTGCGCAAGCGGGACGCCTACGCACCTCTGTGTGAACTGAAATCCAGAATCCTCCGCATACACGAAATCGCTTTGCGCGTCAAGCGTTAGCCTCAGACGCGATGCCGGACAGACGTAGGGCTACCCCTTTTACCTTCGCAGCGCGTCCACGACCATGAAGACCATCTTGTCGAACGGAGGCTTGGGCGGTGGCCCATACTCTAGAGACTCATACTCGGCGAGGCCAGGAATGAATGGCTTGTAGGGGAAGAATCCAGTGGCAAAGACTATAACGGACATGGGTATCAAGAGGTTGGCGACGACCAGCAGCAGCGTGCTGGCCAGCGACCCGTTCTTAGAGGCCACCATGTTCATGAAAGTGAAGAGATGGCCTCCTCGTAGGGAAAAGTCTAGGGAGTGGATGAAGGCAAAAGGGAACGAGGGTTGGCTACGCCATCGGATGAAGGCTCAGGCATTGACCGCGCAGGCGCGTTTGGTGGGCGACATGAGTGAGCGAGGCAGACGAGGGCGTGGTTAGACGCGGCGCAACGATGGCCGCCAGGGTTGCGCGGAGCTGGAGGGAGGGAGAGGGACGGTCGGGGTGGGCCTGCGCCACACCGTTCCTTCAGGTTAGGTACTTCAGGCGGGCGGCCCGCCGACTATCACCGCGGTGTCGGGACGAGGCAGTCACTCTGTCTCGTCTCGCTCTTGGGTATCGTCAATTAATACTGCGCCAAAAGACATGGATAAAACCGGTTGAGAAACAAGCACAGACATCTCTCGTGTGTTCAAGACAACTCCAGCATAATCCCCACTCCAGGCTCTCGTGCTTCACTTGCCGCCCTTCTTCTTGCCTGCCCTGTCGCTGTATTTGGGAAACACAATCTTGGACTTTTTCGCCTTTCTCTTGCCGATGCGCTTCTTGTCAATGCGCGCCTTGGATGTCTTTTTGGAATCGACGTCCATCGCTGGGGAGGGGTGAAACTTGTCAGGTTCTATTTGTCGCGTGCTGTATGGGGGCGAATGTGAAAGCAAACGTACCTGCATCGTCGGCACCGTCTGCGTCGGCGTTCTCCTCAGCAGCAGCATCTTCCTCAGCCGCTGCAGCCAAAGTCAGTGTACTGCCCCAGCACGATAACATTCTCTCTTGCCCTGCTCGCCAATGATGCACCCACCATCCATGTTCACGTCTGAAGTCTCAGGCTTGGGCTGCTTTGCCAGCTCGAGCAGCTTGGCCGAGAGACGCTCATTGCGGGCGATCTCTGCGGGGCCAAACACGGACGCAGCCTTGCGCCGGTTGTTTGCCTTGATCGTGCTTGAGCGGGAGCTCTTGGCCATTGTGTATGCGTGCGTGTCTCTGAAGGGCCGCCGACGCCTGCCTCGATGTGCCGAATGTGCGGTGACGGGATGAGTGAGTGAGTGAGTGATGCGAGCCCAGACGATCGTGGAAAAAAGTTACCTCGATAGAGCGAGATAAGGCCTGTCTCTTATACACATCTAGATGTGTATAAGAGACAGGTGTATGCGTGCGTGTCTCTGAAGGGCCGCCGACGCCTGCCTCGATGTGCCGAATGTGCGGTGACGGGATGAGTGAGTGAGTGAGTGATGCGAGCCCAGACGATCGTGGAAAAAAGTTACCTCGATAGAGCGAGATAAGGCGCTGTGGCGTTGGTCCCTGTCGGTGAGGTGGGCCTTATGTGTGGCTGGTGGGGGTCCAGATTCATGGTTCGCCCGCAACTAGGCTGGGCCGGGAGAATTTTCAGCACTCGTCAACCCACTGGAGAGTGACAGCCAGTCCCGTCTCGACTCGCTCCCGTCCTGTCCCTGCCACTGCCCGGCCACGTCAAGGTGAGGTGCCCGCGTGTGTCTGCGCTGCTGCAG